TCTGCAGTTCTGAACAAGGGTGCCATATTTTGTGATAACGAGATTCTTGGCTAGATTTGTAATCCTTTGTGAATCTGAAGCACCCTGTTCTGGTTAAGACCCTCTATGCATTAGGAGCCCCTTTTCTAATACAATGGCCTCGTGTTATGCTATAGAAGCCCTTTGTTGGATACTGAAAAACCTTGCGTTCTTGATCTTTTAGTCATCAACGTTTATCTTCATGGATATGACACATGGATCACTTTGATAAAGAGGCATACGTCATGTATCAATTTAGTTCATTAGCCATCCTTTCACTTCATTAGGTGTAACGAAAACACTATTTGTGACCTGCATACACATGTTCTACTTAACCAACATAATATTGCGAAACACAGGCAAACCAGGATATAGCTTTCTACACGCAGTCTCTAATTCAATATTGATTTAAAATTATATTGGGTGAGCGTGCTGTTCCGATTGACGTGTGGTTATTTCAATTTACGCGCCAACTTAAGCTGTAACTTGATTAGTGCTGGGTAAATGTGTATTACAATCGATCTAAAGTAGGCGTTTAATGCAAGCTCCATTATTCAAAAGGTAGACAGTGATGAATGAGATAATAATGCACAATTCAAACATTTTTTTAAATGTTTGTATTTAAATTGGGAAATAAACCTCACAGGAACCTGCAATATTCTCTTAAGCAGTACTGCTAATTCTTGAAACAGTACCACTAACTTCACTTGACCATCGTAAGTACCGTGTTATGTAAATCGCCGTAGCACAGTCAGTGGAGACTCTTCTCAGCGTCAGCTAGTTTCGGTAGATCTGTAAAAACAAACCTTGTATAGGAGTTATTATAGTTCTCGATTTGCTAATCTCACTCTACCAGCTTAGTACTCTTTCGATGTCATGCTTCTAGACTAAATGATGGTATTATTCGTTGTTCACTTGAGCGACTGGTGGATGGGGCTGGTGTGATCGTGGGTTGCGACAAAGGATGGGACAATTTGTTCACACAGTTGCTTTTCCAGTCAAATATCATGAAAATGAAGCACGAGTGGGGCAGAAGCTGGCTGCAATGCTGACATTGTGTGGGTAGTGTAGGTTGTGGTTGATCATTCCTGGCCATAGAAAGCGTTCTTCGAACTGTTCAACATGGTTCTAACAAGACATTCAAGAGGGAATGGAGATGGAAGTCCAGCATCCAAGATAAAACAGGTGTGTCTAGCTACAATGCAATCACATTTGTTCCACTAGTCTAGGTTTATATTTACTTATAACCTGGGCATGAGCATTATGTGCACTGAGATGCATAACCAGCTGCAGGATATTCATTTAAGAGCTACATTGATGACATCAGTCGATCCATGAAAGCATTTCAAATTTCTGATGACAAAAAACTTCATGTTAAACATGCTGCACTGGAACAGGCCAATCTTAACACTACTTGGAAAGGTTAGCACACAATTCTTAATGATCAAACAGCTTGCATATGTTTATGATATGCTTCAGTGCCTCAGGTAAGTTTTGATTTTGGCCACTGCTTTTGGCCATTTTAACCAGTGCTGCTTAAAACATTCTTGTTAAACATGCTGCACTGGAACAGGCTGATCTTAAGACTACTTTGAAAGCACAGGACATAATTTTGAATGATCAAACAGATTGTGTATGTTTATGATACACTTCAGCACATCAGGATAAGTTTTGATTTTGGCCACTGCTTTTGACTATTTTGACCAGTGCTGCTTGATCCAATATTGAAAGAGGAGCATTTCCTTTTTAAGGTTTCTTCAAGATGCTATCTGGAAAAGTAAATGTAGTGCCTGACTGGTAAGCATCTTCATTTCCTGTGTGGCAGTCTGGGTTTGAAATTGTTGTGGATCCATGGCCCTCAACAGCCAATACATTGGCTATTTGTTTATGTGACTGTGGTTATGGCATGCACTGGCAATATGGCACATGCACATATGGCAAGTAACCATGTGCAGTAAATTTACCATGATTATGTAAGATTGGTTATGGCTGCTTACTTATGCACTGCTGCCAGTATTGACCAACTCATACTTATTTGTTTCATTAGTATTAACTTATAGTCATTCAAAAGTGTTGATCAGTTAATCTTGAATTAGATTAATTGACAGTTATAAAAACATGATGTTGACAATGACCCACCAATGGCAATTAAGTCAATCACAACTGAGCACCTGAAAATGATAACCTATCCTAGCATGTGCACCTGGTCTGGAAAAGAAAGTGATTGCAATGAGATTGATTGTTCCATAATAAGCAAAGGTCTGATACCAACTCAAGTTTTCAGTAAGTTAAATTTAGTTTGGTGTGTTTATATCCTCATATACATCCAGGCTTTTGATGAACTTATCAAGGTGAAAGTGAATAGATGATGGTGTATAAGAAAAGAGGGATACCAAGCTAAAAATTCATGAAACAGCACAATGCCTACTTACCATGCATCCAGCATTGCTCATCAGCCCAGGGCAATGATGGATAAGATGTGCCTCAAGCCATGACACATATTAGGAATTTTGCACAGAAGATGGCAAGCAGCTTAACAATATTTCCAGGAATTATCTGATGACTTGGCAAAAATTAGCAGCATTGTGCCCTGTATTTGTTGTCTGTGGACCTCTTATGCCATGGGCTAACACATAGCCATGGCCAATGTCCCATCTATATGGTTTTTTGTGATGAAAGATGTGCTGGCCTCATACCTGAATAGAATTGTTGCAGTGTGAAGAGGAAATTCCTGACGCAGAGGAAATATAAAATAAATCATGGTGAATGATGACTCTTTGACATTCAGCTAAATCAGGTTATTGGACACCCATACTTACCTTAACAAGTAATTGTGGCATAAATGGTTTTGTCTGGATAAACCTATGTTTTGCATAAGTCATGCTTCAAAGTATAAGTCATACAGGACAACTAGAACTGCAACCATGCAACCATAACTGCAAGAAAATGCAATCATAACTCCCTGCAGAGAGTATGGAGAATTGCACCAGTTCTTACACTGAGCTCCCTCTTGCTAGAACTAGTGATGGTATGGCTAATATTCTTAAATCTGCAGGCACTTGTCTGCTTCACATATAGCAGTAATGTTCTGGAGAGGATGTTTTGTTTTTGTTTTTTGGCAAATGACTTCTGGTTAAATGAGATGACTTACCCTACCCTGGGGGGATAAATTGTGTCACATGATGGGAAAGTTGGACTGTGTTATGTTTGCCAAAGAGGAAGTTGTGTCCAGAGCAAAATGGATGTGTTACAGCACTGAGACCAAATGCTGTTGCGTAGGGTGCTTCATAATACTGGATACTAGGAATTTGTTCATAATTGGGACTGACTTATTTTTGCTTTGTTATCAGTGTTTTTTTATTACTACTGCTACCTCAGGTTTGGTTCCTCAGGTAAAAATAATGTGACCACATTGGTAAGGTAACTGTCAGCTCATGTTCTGAATCATAATAGGTCATGGCAATCATGTTTGTCAATCATTTATAGTGAGCCATTCAATAATGTGTTGTCTGTACATTCCATCACTGACACAATGTGCCCATGCACAGCTACACAACATGCTCCCCCAACATCTTGGAAGAAAGTTTGCACCACCCGCAATTCGTGGGAGGCAGGCACCTTTATACACACATGTACCTAATTGCTTTAGTTTTGAGCACTTTGCAAAAGGCATATGTTTGTGCTCATCCCACAGCATGTGCATGCATGCAGTCAGAAGTATGCTGACAGGGAGAGGAAGGGGCTGTGCATCAGCTGAGTGACTCAATACTCCCATTCATCACAGATTGGGAATGAATCACCTTGATACTTCTTGGACATGGTACAACCCACCCAATTCCCTTAGTGTGTAACTGGCCAAAATATTTGAAGAGAAATGCAATGAACCAAGAGTGTCAAAACCAAATGTGTCTGACATTTTGCTACAGATTCCTCACCACACATTTCAAGGTACATCTTGCTTGTTATGTTTTGAACAAATCAGCTGGCTAGCAAAGGCCAATTGCAAACATTTATGCACTAGATACTGAACAGTGGAACTTAGGCCTACTGCTACCATATCACAACTTGATCATCCCACCTCAAAGTTTGAGTTGGCTCATGATTTTGTGGTACACTTGCTGCTCACTGGGCTGTTATGTTTCATATTGTAAGTTGTGTGAAAGAAGGTCTGCTTGTTTTGCATAATCAGATCAGCCACTTTCTGTACTGATGTTACATTTTGATGTTTTGGAAGGAATGCTTGACATTTGAATATACTGAAACAAACATCAGATATGAGATAAACTTATGTGTAGCCATTTATGTCCTTTTAAGTGGAAAAGACTGCTCTAGACAACACTATTTCACCATTTAGTGACCATGCCCCTCAATATATGATTGTTTGATTGTGGCATGGACCATTTGTATGATGTTGAGGTGCTGCCAAACTACCTACACAAAATTGCCTCATGTAGACTCACCAACAGTTGGAAGCATGGTGCTGGAGTTGTCTGCATGGTTTGCATGATGTGTGACTGGTTAGACCTGTGTCATAAGCAGCATTCAACCTGACCCCATACACGGTGAAGCCTCAGAGTTTGTCTCAGGCCGTACTCGGATCGCTGTGTCTGTGGCCCGGACGGAGTGCCGCGACCGCTGACGGCGTGCTGCCCCGCCTGGCAGGAGACGGACGCTGACCGACCTGGCTCGGAGGAGGGCGGCGCGGCGGGCGCGCGCCGGCAGACACGTGGCAGCGGTGGGCGCGGTGCCGGCCCGGCCGACACGCTCCAAGCCATAGGTGAGAGGCGGCCCCCGCCCCGCCCGCCGCTGGCCGCACTGGTGCCGGAAGACGAGCCGAGAGGTGGTGAGGGATAGGCGGCGCTGTGTCGGCGCTAGCAGACGTGTCGATTGGGACAGGGCTGTCGCTGTTGTTGTATTGTTGTTGTGGCCGTTGTGTTGTCAATGATTGTTGTGGCCGGCGGCGGGAAGTCTGAGAGGTCGCTATGTGTGAGCAGTGCAAAGCAGTGCAGGCGGCGTCTGTGGGCTGCCTCTCACCCATGGCCTGGAGCATGTCGGCTGGGACAGTGAAAGCCATCTTCATGGACAGTCGGACATTGACCGATGGGGTGGGCATTGCTGCGTCCTCTGGCGGACAGTGTAAGACAAACGTAGGAACACTGTGGAACACTGCAGGACAATGGTGCCATAGTGTCGGGCAACAGGACTCGTTGGAATGGCTTAGGTTATGGGGTCTGGCAGGAGCCCCACCAGTTTGTGTAAAAGGTTATGCGGTGGTGTTTCTGTCGTCGGTTTGCATAAAGCTAGAGAACGAAACGAGAGCCGTTGTTCAGCAGATGCGAAAGCCGTGTATGAGGACAGTCGCTGCGTTCGTATGTATCCGTTTTCCTTAGGTCTGGCACTGGCTGGTAACTCAGCATATAAGCCGTGGTCAGTGGTGTATGGTATGCCAGCCGACGAGCACCGTGAAGCTCCGAACCGTCTCTGTGTCCGTTTTGTGCGTGTTTTCTCGCGCTGGGCCGCCCCGTGGGTGGCCGTGCCAGGTGTGGTGCGGATGTGAGCCTGCTGTGCCGCTCCAGCCGCCAGGTGTGGTGCGGATGTGAGTCTGCTGTGCCACTCCAGCCGCCAGGTGTGGTGCGGATGTGAGCCTGCTGTGCCGCTCCAGCCGCCAGGTGCGGTGCGGATGTGAGCCTGCTGTGCCCCTTTAGCCGCTCCCCGCGTGACCGGCCGCCGCCGCCCCGGCGTCAGTCCGGAGTCTGACGCCCCCTCCCGCCGCCAGGAGTGAGCCGCACGCGCGACTGTCAGCCGCTGCCGCTGTACGCCGAGGCGTGGCAGGAGGAGCGCGAGATGAAGTACACCGGCAGTCCGTTCCGGTCGCCCCGCTCGCGCCGCGTGATCGGGCACCGCCCGCGCGCGCGCCGCTACAACGTCGAGTTCACCGAGATCGAGGGTGCGTGCCGCTGCCCCGCAGCCGAAGTGCTGGCCGAGTTAGGAGGCATGGTTAAAAGGTGGAGATGCTCCACAGCTGTTGGTTATTGAGGTGTTTTTCCAGGTCGTTGCTTGCTCATTGTTTTGACGTTGTATTTCAAGGATATCAATGCATAAATTGTTGCATTGTTGTAAAGGTTGTAAAAGGCTTCAATATTGTTGGTGATATATCTTATACCACTTCATTTCTTCATGCTCAATGTTTTAGGCATCCATACTTAATACTTATTGAAAATCAGAGGTAGTTGGTAGTGTGTTTTGCATACATTTGTCGTTGTAAGATTTCATAGACTTCGAATAACCGCATCAGAACTCCTTAGAAACAACGTCGGTGATTGGATGGAAGTGTTTCGATTCGGGTGTCTGGCCATGGCCTGTAACCACGCTTCTATGTTTCCAAGCCTCCGAGCGTGGTGCGCTGAGGCAGTCGGAGAATTCGTCACCAAGCCTCTGCATGCACCGACTGGCCGAACACGCAGTGTTGCCTGATCAGCCCCAGCATTCTGACTGTAAACTAGGAGCTGGATTCACGAGTGACACTGCAGATGCCAGGTGGCGCTGGTCATGTACAGCTGTCGCGTGATATTGGCATGGGGCGCTTCTTCTGTGCGGGCCGCTTCCCTGCTCTCCTGAGTGTGGCTCCCCCGCCGGACGCCGATATCACTGACCCGCGCCGTCCGCTGCAGTGCGCCGCAGCGGTCGCAAGCGCAAGATGATGTACGACAACTTCAGCGACACGTGGATCACAACGCAGATCGCGCACTCGGGCCGGCAGCAGGAGGCGAGCCCGCCGCCGCCGCTGCCAGAGCCCGAGGAGGAGCAGGAGGAGAGGACTGAGGCTGCCGGCCCGCCCTCGCCACCCGTGCCTTCCCGCCGCCTGCTGCTGCCGCCCCTGACGGAAGACGACGTACGTCCGATGAGAGGGGGGAGCCGACAACGAAATTTCGTATCAAGGATGTTATTATGGGTTCACGTATTCGGACATCATTGGTGACGCGTTCGTGTCAGAACTCAGCCGTTTTCATTTCTGACTAATTTATATTTTTAGCCATTTACCGCCGGAGGTAGTCATTTAGCCGTCATGGGCGCAAAATGACGACAGTAGTCGGCGCGCCCTATAGCTCCAATCAACAACAACAACGACAGGGCTGAGCGCCTGGTAGTGTTGTGGAAGCCACACGTATGGGTCGTTTCGGTTATATCCCCCAGTCTGGGATGCTCCAAGCTCGGTCACAGGGCACCGTCAGACGTTGTGAGCATATTTCTTGCACCGCGTTCGGCCGCCACGTTCACGTTACATGCTCTGGGGCCCGCGCGCTCGGGCGGCCTGTGCCCGGTCGCTGTGCTTCTTGTCTGTGCCTGCGGTCGTTGTCGCAGCCTGAGGCGCCCCTGCCATCAGGGCATGGACATGTACTCGCGCGTGAAGCGGACGCACCGGCCGGCGCAGCGGTTCGGCATGCCGGCCGAGGAGCCGCCGCCGGCGCGCGTGCGCCGCTTCGTCTCGGCCGACTCGAGCAGCGGCGACGCAAGCTCGTCGGACGAGGACGAGCCGGGCGCGCCGGACGAGCCGGCGGCCGGCGACGAGCCGGGCCCTAGCGAACCGGTCGAGCGGCCTGAGCGAGCGGCACGCGCCACGCGCGCCCGCAACCAGCCGCGCACCGAGACCAAGGTCATCAAGAAGTACTATCTGCGCGAGAACCGGCGCGAGCCCGAGTTCTACCAGGGTGAGACGCGGCGGGCTGCGGGCTGGTGGACGGGACGGGACGGGACGGGACGGGACGGGACGGGACGGGACGGGACGGGACGGGACGGGACGGGACGGGACGCGGGACGGAGGCTGGGGCTCAGCTGGGTGGTCTCTTGCCTCTTTGGTCTAACGTACCTGTGGACTCCGATCGGGTGTCCCTGTCGGCCTCTAATTTTTCACTTGTGCCATGCATACTCTCTTGCTTTGTCTATTTAGGGGGGGGGGGGGGCGGGGCGTTATCCTGCTGCCTCGCTTCCAAGCTGCCATTTTTAGGTGTTCCATAGCTGACATGTGTCTAGGGCATAAACCGCACACTTGATTTGTGTTGCATGCGTTGCCCCTTGCCTGTCGACCGGGTCCCTTGCATTTGGCAGCACACCTTTTGTCGCTGTGCTCCACATGACAGCCCGTGGTAGCTCCCTCTGACCCCCCCCCCCCCCTCCCCCCCCCCCATTCGCCGCCGCGCCGTAGACGATTCGCTGCAGCTGCCGGCGTCGCCGCGGCGCGAGCTCCGTGACGAGCGGTACCCACACCGCTGGCGCCGGCGTCACCGGCGCCACAAGAACGCCGCCTTCAACGAGAGCACCACAGACAGCAGCAGCGGCCGCGACAGCGGGGAGGAGAACTTCGAGCGGCGCAAGGCGCGCAGCATGCAGGGCTTCAGGAACAAGTGCGTGGGCGGGCGAGGCGCTCCGGCGGCTTCGCGCCGGCTGGCCGGGGTGGGGGTCGGTAGTGTGGAGTGTGGTGGCCGGGTGGACCGACGGGTTGTCGTGCGTTGTAGCTGTGTGCTGCGATCGAGTTGGCCGGAGTCGCGGACGATTTCTTTGTTCGTGTTCTTGTGCGTATTGTTTCTCGTCAATCAGGGACTCATTGCCGCGCACAACGTGCCGTGCCGTGATGCAGACAGGCCTACACGGACATGGAACACGTCATCCAGTGAAAGTAACCAACACTAACACTACAGCACCCACGTGGACGCCGCTGTGCTCTTCTGTGGCTGTCCTTGGAAAGCCTGCTGCCGTGCTGTGCTCTTCTGCGGCTGTCCTTTGACAGCCCACCGCTATGTTGTGCTCTCGTGCGGCTGTCCTTTGACAGCCTCACCGCTCTGGACGCGTCGCTCTGCGCCGCAGCAGCGGCCGGGCCGCTCGGCTGCGGCGCGGCCGCCTCTGCCGTGCCTCTGACCGGTGCGCGGCCCCTTCGCCAGGTGTCTGCCGCTCAACTTCACCAAAGCGGACGCCAGCCAGCGGGCCGTGGGCGAGAGACAGCGCGTGGGCACCAGCCTGGCCGACGTCGACCCCATGGCCGTGGACAAGTGAGTGGATGCACCACTCCGCGCTGATCTGGTCCGGATGCTAGGGATGCGTCGGCGCCGACTGATCGCGCCACAGGTTGGCTTCGATGCGTTTCGAGTCTGGTGGAGGCGATATGGTGTTGAAAGGCTGATACCGGTATTTCGAAAAGACTTAGGTGTTGTATTGTTGCTATGCATTATATGGCTTGCTCTAGATTTCCCCACTGACGAATGCTCGTTTGTGGCTACGCTTAAGTGGCACTAAAAGGTATATGTGCCTCCAGGGCTGGCTTTTGTGTCAGCGCTGACATCTCCGTATTTCGCAGGGACGTGAACTTCGACATGATCGGAGGTCTGAGGGACCACATCCGGGACTTGAAGGAGATGATCCTGCTGCCGCTGCTGTACCCGGAGGTGTTCAGCAGCAAGAACATCACGCCGCCCAAGGGCGTTCTCTTCTGTGGTCCCCCAGGTGGGCCGGTCGGGGGCGGAGCGAGCTGCGCCGCAGTCTCAGAGCCGGCGTCGCCGCGGGAGGGGGACGGGGGACACCGACACCTATCGTTGCCGTCGTAGCTCGTGTCCAAAGCTGCTTCTCGTGTTTTTGTTTTTGTTTTTGTTTAGGCGCGCATGCTCTAGTATCATTTGGTATGCATTTCCGGAAATCAACATCGGGCTGTGGGCCATTTAGAAATTGTCTCTCCCTCCCAAAACCGGCGTACGTCTGTTGTACATTTTCGGAGGAACTCGCGTCCCATGAAGATGGTGGACGGAGCTCTGAGGCTGAAACTGTTAATGCTCAGTTGGAAGCACAGAACCCCTGGAAGGAGACTGCCACGTCTTGCCATTGTGAGCACTTTGCCCTCCACTCGAGTCATCAGCTCGCGCGCTCGGTCACCTACTTTTCCTTTTGGTCGGCCGCTCGTGACCGATATCTGTCTACCCACTAACCCACTGACACACTGACCTCCCAGAACTTCCCTGACCGCCCTGACCACCTGCCCCTGACCCCTGACACCTTGACCTCGTGACCTCTAACCCCTGACCCTCTGACCCCCGCCCGCTGGCAGGCACGGGGAAGACGCTGATGGCACGCGCTCTTTCCAACGAGTGCGGCCTCGGTGACCGCAAGGTGGCCTTCTTCATGCGTAAGGGCGCCGACGTGCTAAGCAAGTGGGTAGGCGAGAGCGAGCGGCAGCTGCGCCTGCTCTTCGACCAGGTGAGGACGGGCTCAACGCACGAGCAGCAGGACGCCTCGAGCCACTCCGATGAACGGCGATCTCACTCTGTCGGAGTCAGTGAACGGGAGCGCCCGTGAAACGATGGGACGGGAACCTGTCAAATGGGAAGGCGTTCGACTATTTCCTTGCGTGCTGCATGGCGCGAAATATTGAACATGATGTTGTGCATATGACTGGTATTGGATGGTGTCTGGTAAGACCGTTGTCCAGTTTTGGGCTTCTTGCTACGCTGCCGTTTTCCCAGCTTTGTCTAGGCCGCTATGCTATTTCTGGATGCTTGCTGACACGCCTGCATGATTGTGTCATCGCCGCTGCGACATGCCGCGGCGGGGGCCATGTGTCGCGACTCCCTGTTCCGCCGTTCTGATCGCACTCGCATCTCCGACGTCGCTCCGCCAGGCCTACCAGATGCGGCCGTCCATCATCTTCTTCGACGAGGTAGACGGCCTGGCGCCGGTGCGTTCTTCCAAGCAGGACTACATCCACGCGTCCATCGTGTCCACGCTGCTGGCGCTGATGGACGGCGTCGACTCGCGCGGCGAGGTCAGTCGGACGCGCGGCGGAGACGGGACCGGTGGTGCGGCTGACCCGCCATCAGGGCGTGACGTGTCCAGTGACCCGGGAACGACTGGGCGTGTGCGACCTGGCGGGCGTGGGGAGGGACGTGAGGAAGTCCGGTGGAGATCTGCGGTGTGGGTCAGTGTGTCGTTCGCAGCAGCTGGGACAACCTACCCCACACCAGGCACCCGGTCTTTAAGCCGTCGGGATCTGCACCTTCAGGGCGTGTTTTGCCACGGCTGTCCAGTCCGTGCTTTGCGTCACAGTACAGCGTGATGACCCCTGACCTGGCGTGAGCGCAGGTGATCGTGATCGGCGCCACCAACCGACCGGACAGCATCGACCCGGCGCTGCGCCGCCCTGGCCGCTTCGACCGCGAATTCTACTTCCCGCTGCCGCCGCTAGAGGTCAGTGGCGGTGATGTGACCCAACTCCAACTGAGCACTTTAGGAGGGCATTTGCACAGCGGTATCTTTTGCAGGGGTAAGTGTTGCCGATTATACATTTAAACCATGTATATGGCATGTTTGTATGCTCACAGTCATAAATTTACTGCTACAAATCAAAGTTTCAGATGACTGTTTATCGGCATTTGGAATTAGTCCCTTTAGTAAATATGCGCCTCGATACGTCATTGTTTCATCACGTCAGCTTATCTGGCACAACATAGGTCGAGAGCCAAGTGACGACCATTATGTCTGGAAGTCGTGCTCACGAACGCCAGATAAGAACAACTGAACAATTATAGTTTTTTGGCCTTGGTTGTCGCATAGCTAATGGAATAGCACGATTTAAATCAGGTTGTTGTGACGTGGAGGCATGCGTTCCCTTGAAAGTGCACAAGACCGATATGTCTTCTAGAGGGCTCGTTCAGTCCATCCCCTCATGCGAATGTGGAACACCCCTGTAATATCGTCGATACGTTAGCTTGTGAAGTTGCAGATTTTCGTATGATATAGCGGAGGATCTCTGAATGGACCAAGTTCAGACAACCTAGGATTGGCACATGCTTCCAAGACACTTGCCATTGCGTAAGCAGCGAAAGCTTCAGTAGCGGACAAACTACATCACAAGGGTAGCGCCGTTTCACAAACCAAAGCCTAAGCTGTACTGCGTGTCCGGGCTGTACTGAGTGTCCTGTCTTGCACCGAGTGTCCTGGGCTGTACTAAGTGTCCTGTCTTGTACTAAGTGTCCTGTCTTGTACTGCGTGTCCAGGCTGTACTGTATGTCGCGTCTTATACTGCGTGTCCTGTCTTGTACTGCGTGTCCGTCCTCACGCGTTTACATCCGGCCGGCAGTCGCGGGAGCAGATCCTGCGCATCCAGCTGGCGTCCTGGCAGCCGCCGGTGGAGCCGAGCACGGTCAGCTGGCTGGCCCGCCAGACGGCCGGCTACTGCGGCGCCGACCTCAAGCATCTGGTGACCGAGGCCGTGCTGCACGCGCTGCGCGAGCGCTACCCTCAGATCTACCGCAGCAAGCAGCGCCTGCTGATTGACGTCGAGTCAATTCAGGTACGGTTGGAGGCGGCGGAGGCGGACGGCGGTGTTGCCTGCGAGAGGGGACTGGTGGGACGGCCTGGGATTCAGCGGTCCCTCACGCGAGCTGAAACAGCCTGTGGGAGTGCCTTGACATTCTTGTTGAATTAGCAGGTTGTTTGACGCAGGCGTCCGTGACGTGCCGTCCCTGCCCCGTGAGCCTGACCTCGTCGGGCGGCCGGTCGCAGGTGCTGCCGCCGCACTTCCGGGCGGCCATGGGTCGGATGACGCCTGCTGGCCAGCGGGACCGGGCCGACGAGCGTCAGCCGCTGCCGGCGGCGGCGCGGCCCCTGCTGGCGGCGCCGCTGGCGGCCGCGCGCGCCGCGCTGCGTGCCGCCTTCCCCTGGGGCTGTCGCCAGCAGGCCGAGCTGAGGTGGGTGGCGGCTGACTGTGGCGTGGGGCAGGCCAGGTGCGGCACTAGGAGGTGCAGATGAGCAGCTTGCCGGGCGGCGGGCACGCAGCGGCAAGGTCGCTCCAATTATGTTCGCTGAAGTCAGCTCAGGTCTGACGTCAAATCTGATAACTTAAGTCAGTGGGGAGAATCATCGCCGTCGGAACGTCTCTTGCATGATAGTAAGATAAAACGTTAAGTGTTGACGAGTGTTATAAAGCAAACGTTGTGCATGATAGGCATTTGAGGGTTGCTGGGTTGAGTGGCACAGCTTAATTTAATAGAAGGATCGCAGCATATTTGCTGGTCAGGGACGTGCAGGCAAGTGATGGCTTTGTTTTGGCGTGTTTTCCTGTGCCGGGCACAGTCCTGTACCGGGCATGGCCTGACCGTGGACTGGGCGTCAGACTGATGTGTGACACTACGCTTCGTGCCACTAGATGTGACCGGTCTGAGCCGGTGGTATTTGACGTTTGATCCGACACGCGACCCGACTGCGCTCGGGACTCGCCTGTCGTGTGACCTGGTGGTCCCTGACCTTGGTCCTCCTGACCTTCGATGGGGCTTGGTCAGGCCGTTCTCCGACCCGCCTGTGGTCCGACATGCCCTGACTCGAGACTTGCCCGGCGACCTGACCTTTCGTTCCCAGACCCGCCTCCTGACCTGACTTGACCTGACCAATCCGTTAGGTGACCCGTGATCGGACCGGCACCGTTGTGGACGGACGCTGACCGGTGTGGTGCTCGTCGCCAGCCGGTGGGAGGCGTATATGCCGCGCCTGCTGCTGGCCGGCCGGCCGGGCCAGTGCCACTCGGAGTACCTGGCTCCCGCCCTGCTGCACGGCCTCGAGAACGTGCGCGTCTTCACATTTAACGCCTTCGCGCTGCACGCCACCGGCGCCGAGCCGCTGCAGACGCTGGCGCAGGTGAGGCGAGGCCGGCGCCGGCCGGAGCTGCTCGACCGGTGCTGTCGCGTGCCTTGCTGGCACGCACGCTGCGTGTCAAGTCGTGCAGCTAGAGCGGGCGGGCACACCAGCACCTGATGCGTCGGCTATGAGGCAGTGCCAGTGACCAAAGTGGCGTGTAATGTGCCGTCGTAGTCGTGCAGTGTTGTCGGATAACGAGGCCGCCTCTGACGTGCCTGTAAAGTGCTGTTGCAGTCATGCAGTGTTGCCGGATGACGAGGCCGCCTCTGACGTGCCCGTAAAGTGCTGTCGTAGTCGTGCAGTGTTGCCGGATGACGAGGCCGCCTCTGACGTGCCGGCATGGGCCGGCGCGTGCGCCCGCATGACGCGTCCATCGGCCGCCGCTGCAGCTGCTGTCGGAGGCGGCGCGCAGCACGCCGTCGGTGGTGTACCTGCCGCGCCTGGACAGCCTCTGGACGTACCTGGCCGAGCGGCTGCAGCTGCGCGAGCCACTGCTGGACCTGCTGCGGGACCTGCCGCGCCGTGTGCCCCTCCTGCTGCTGGCCACCTGCGACCTGACGGCCGGCAAGCTGCCGCCGGAGGTGAGGCGCGCGTGCGCGGCCCGACAGCGCCGCACGCTCGACATGGGGATGGGCCGGCGGCATGGCTTTTGTAAAGACCTTTCAGACGTAAAAGGCTGCACACGCGCGACTTCGGTGAGTGTGATGTGCGACGTTGGCTGCCCTTCGCTGCTGAGGAAGCGGTGGCTGCTCGCGATGCTGGCGTGAGCGGTGACACGGGCGGGAAACAGCAACCGTGCAAATGCGTTGTGTTCTTGATGTTCTCTTTCCAATGCCGTTCCAAATACATTGTGTCTCGCCGCAATGCTCTCGGTATCATTGTGAGTCCATCGTATGTGCGATCGTGACGCCGCGTCAGCCCGCTGCGCGCCTGTGCCGAAGTCTCCGACCCATCGCGTTCTGACGGCGCCGCGGCGCGCCCGCCAGCTGGCCGCTCTCTTCAGCGCCGCGCGGGGCCAGGTGCAGATCGTGGCCGACCCGGGGGTCGAGGAGCGGCGCAAACTCTTCACCCGGCTCTTCATGAAGACTGCCATTCTGCTGAAGAAGCGCAAGAGCAGGACAGGTGAGCGTTCGGCCGGCTGAAGTCCGAGGTCGGCTCGGCTGCCGACAGAGGGCGGTGTTGGTGGGCGCCCGAAACCAGTGATTTGGCCGGCTCCGGACCTCTCAGTTAGTTGCAGCGGGTGGGGTGGAGATATTACCGATGGCGCGGTTTTGTATGCAAAATGTGGATGCTCGTATTCTTCGTAGAATGAGTTAAAATTGTGCTTGTATACCAGATTGTCGCAACATCGTCGGGCACAGGGCATTGCTTGCGCCCAAATCAGAGTCGGCGCCATGTGGATGTCACCGCCGGCCGTCTCCAAGAAGTGCTAGCAATCATCGGTGTTAGTCCCGAGTGCCCTGTGGCGGTGCCGCGCGTGCCAGCGTGAGCGGCCCGCTGACCATGGTTGGCACCGCTGCCGCCGCCGCCGGCCAGGTGCCGAGGAGGAGCTGCCGGTGGCGCCGCCGCCGCCGCCACGCCAGCTGGGCGAGGCCGAGCTGCGCCAGATCCACCGGCGCGAGGAGCGCCGTCTGGCCGAGCTGCGCATCTTCCTGCGCGAGATGTGTGGCCGGCTCACACGTAACCGACAGTGAGTGGCGACGACGACCGGGGGGGGGGGGGGGGGGGAAGGGGGCGCAGCAGCAGCGGAACAGACGGAGGTTGTGGCTAGGGACGCATAGTGTGACAAGTGCAGACGGAGGGCGGAGCGTCATGTGGCGCTGGTAGAGGCCCTGCAGCGGAACAGACGGAGGTTGTGGGCGGGGACGCATAGTGTGACAAGTGTAGACGGAGGGCGGAGCGTCATGTGGCGCTGGTAGGGGCCCTGCTCCGACCCCCGATGTTTCTTCCCCGGCGCCGTCGGAGCGACAGGCGTGTGGTGTTCTATGTTCGGCCCTTTGGCGTTGGTGGTGTTGGTCCCTGAAGCTGATCTCGTGAAGCCCGCTTGCAATTGGGAACGTCGATGGTCGATACGCGTCGCCCGGCCAGTGTAGAAGAGAGTGAGGAACGCCCGGGGCGTGGAGGGGCTGCTTCAGTGACACGGGGCGCCCTGGGCACGGGAGGTGAGGCTGCTTCAGTGACACGGGGTTCCCTGGGCGCGGGGAGGGCTGCTTTAGTCACACCTGGTGACTAAAGCGCGGTGACTGAGCGCGGATGGGCTGCTTCAGTGACACGGGACGCCCTGGGCACGGAAGGTGAGGCTGCTTTAGTGACACGGGGTTCCCTGGGCGCGGGGAGGGCTGCTTTAGTCACACCCGGTGCCCTGAGCGCGGACGGGACTGCTTTAGTCGCACGGGACGGCCTGGGCGTGGAGGGGCTGCTTTAGTGACACGGGGTTCCCTGAGCGCGGATGGGACGGCTTGCGTGACACGGGACGGCGTCCGCGGCAGGTTCGAGCTCTTCCGTCAGCCGGTGGAGGAGGAGGACGCGCCGGACTACTACAGCATCATCGAGCGGCCCATGGACCTGGATACCATCATGACGCGGATCGATCAACACAAGTGAGTGGTGGCCCACCCCTGCTCCTCGGGGGACCGTGACTCTTCGAGCCGCTCTGTACCGCCGCGTGCCGGGCGGTGCATACTGTATGCCGCCTGCCCATGTACCGCAGCATACCGCCCGTCACCGATGCTTCCGTCCTGTACCGCCGTGTACCGTTGTGTGCACCATCGGCGCCTGACCGCGTGGTGCGGCCGTCCGCAGGTACGAGGCGGCCGAAGACTTCCTGGCGGACGTGGACCAGATCTGCACGAACGCGCTCGAGTATAACCCGGACACGACAGAGATCGGCCGCGAGATCCGACACCGCGCCTGCATGCTGCGGGACCAGGTGACCGTGACAGTGCGCCGCACGGAACCATGTCGGCGGCACGAGACCATGCGTCGCAACCGCGCTCAGACGTCCCACAGCTGCGCGTTTTTACGACCCCGGTTAGGACGAGCTCAAAACACGTGCCGATAGATCCGTCTCATGAAGACGAATGAAGTTTTTGGGTGCTTACCGTTAGGTGTGACCATGTCTTGTGGATTGCATTATGCGTCTTGTATCGTGCCAGGGACTTTTTGTTGAACTGGATAAGTCAGGACAGGATAGCGCCGATCATCCCGACCAGCGCCTGAGCACCGCCGTTCTCTGCCAGGCCCACAAGCTGATTGCTGAGCAGCTGGACTCGGACTTCGAGGAGGAGTGCAAGCTGATCCGACAGAGCCGGCGAGAGCGGGCCGAGTCCCCCACCAAGTTCGCGCCCAGCTACCTGGTGACGCCGCGGCTGTACCAGCAGCAGAACGGTGAGCACGACGGAGGCCCCGCCCACCGGCCGGCACCGGTCTGCGCCAGTGCCGCCAGGGGCGCCCCGAACAACAGATTAATGGCGTTCATGTTCGGCGAGGAGTTTTGTGATATGGAAGCGGGCGGTCGTAATGGGATTTGCGATCTTCTTGTAAACTCGATAAACCAGGCCCCATATCCTGCTCTCATTTGATGCAAGGACTGCTAGCAGACATTATTTTAGTATGGCCATTTCAGTAGCGGCGCTATCCCTGGCTAAGCGCTGTCGATCACGCTGGCGTGCCATGCTACGTCGGCTGCTGACTGTCATTTCCGGTCCATGGCAGCCGGCCACAGCGGCTCGGCCGGCTCGGCCGGGCGCCCGACGGCGGTCGCCGCGCGTCCGGCCGCCGACGTGGCCACGCCGGCGCGCCGGCCGCCGCGCCGCCGCAGCCGCTGGTCGCATGGCGTCGTCAGCGCCTCCAAGCGGCGGCGCCGGCACGCGGCCGACTCGCCCGAGCGTCAGGAGGAGGCCCTCAGCGGCGAGCTGGACCTGGCGTGTCGCGGCGGAGACGGCGGCGAGCCGGGCACGCCAGCCGCGCGGCCCACCAAGGCAGCGCCGCCCGACGAAGACAGCGGCCACGGCTCCACGGCCGCCGGCAGCGACGAGCAGCTCGGCAAGATGTCGGCCGGGGTGCAGGTGAACCCTGGTGGTCGGGGTGAGGTGGGGAAGAGGTGCAGGGACCGACGATGGGGTGGGGGTCGATGTGCGGGACTCGTCAGCGGTTCCTGCGCGAGCTGATGCGTGATGAGGACAATGTCAGGCTGTCTCGCTGTCGTGGGCGGTATTTGCCATGCGAACGCGTTTCAGCCCGCTGTAAACGCACCTGAGGGACTGTAATCGGCCGCTGCCATTCAGTTGTTGTGCCCTACATGTTCGTCTCGACGCGCGTCGTTCGGGGGCGCAGACTGTGTGGCGGCGGTGCTGCTCAGCTTGGTTTCCGGTCCGGCCTCATGAACGTGCAGCCCCGCTGACAGTGGACGGGGCACACCATGTACGCCCGGTCTGTCTGCCGTCCTGTACGCCGCACCGGCGCCTCAGGCTCAGCGGCGCCTCTCCGCTGACCGACCGCCGCCGCCGGCAGGTCGACCGCGCCCGGCTGCTGCTGCTCTGCGAGAGAACGGTGGCGCTGACGGGCGGCTGGACGGTGGCCGCCCTGGAGGAGCTGCACGACCGCCTCCTCTCCGCCGTCCGCCGGTTCGCCTACCGCAGGCTCCGCAACGACATGCTCAAGGTGAACCCGCCGGCGCATGGTCGGCCGACGTTGAGAGGCGGTGGTGGCGGATGCCAACATCTTTGTCGGGATGTCGTGACTCGGTTCGATGTGTATCGAGGTGAGATGGTGCTGACAGGTTGTGGAAGTGTTTCATTTTTTTGCTTCCCGCCGTTGGAGTGGCGCTGAGTGCTGTCGTGGAGCGTCTGGGCTTGTCATCGAGGCCATTTACTGCGTCATGTGTGGTCGTATGGGGTTTGCGAACTCGATAAACCAGGCCCCACATCCTGCTCTCATCTGACGCAAGGACTGCTAGTAGCCATGACTAGGCTGCGTACCAACGCTCTTTTGCGCTGTTGCAGGAGATGGAAGACATTCTGGAGACGTACTGACTCCATCATCACTGCCATTGAAATCAAAACCCGACGCACTGCCATGGCCGATGTGGCTCAAACCAAAAAGGATCGCCGTTTACACACCGGACCTGCTGGATTTTGCTCAGGACTCTGTGTGTTCTTCACTGTGTGCTTGTAATCTTGGGGCCCGAGCAGGACCCGCGCAAACGACGAAGCGACGCCGTTTTTCCTCTCGAGGTTCTGGTTTTGTTATTGTTTGCCACTGGATCTCGCCTGTAACCCATGTCCAGGTGGCATTGGACGCCTCTTCATTTGTAGGGGTCGATTAATGTATGATAGACTTTCGCTGGATGGGGCGGGGTTGCGACGGAGAGGAGATGGGGAGGGGTGCAGTATAACTGCCCTCCTCTGATGGTGTCCAGGCAAGTCCAGCATAACAGTAACTGCCATCTGTCCAGGTCGCTGTAATGGTAGCTTGTGGGTTTCGCGTAGAACAGAAGCCCGCGTTTTGTCTAAGCTTTTGTCCTTCCATTTGGTACTCAAATAAATGTGTTTGCACTAAGCGCCTGGTTTGGTTGTACGCGTGCAACGGTTTTGGCAGTTCGCTCCACTTCGTCTGGTATTCGGGCTCATGGAGTTACCAGAAATGCCTGAGAGCGTACTGCTGGGCTCGGCCAGTTCCGATAAGGCGTTATATTCTCACTGCCAAACCAAGAGCAAAGTCGATCGGAACGAGCCCCACGGCAACCGCACCTGCAAGCCAAACGGCCGTCCAATGTCGAAACGTCGCTCAATGTGAAAGGACATTTTCTTTTTTTCTCGAATGCCTGTGGCGGGCATGCTAGTTTCATGCAGCGCTGCGTGGGCTAGCGGAGAAGTGGGCTGACCGCTGCCGTACGGCCCCTCCGGCCGAACGACGACAGCTGGCCGCGCGTCGCGGCGCACGGCTACACCGCATTGTGCACACATGGCGCGCTAGGGTGCACGTGTGACGCGACGCGCGAGGTCATCGTGCACGACCCAGCAGCACTGCGACGACCTTGGAGCTTGGCGGGATGGCGCAGCCCCAGGCTGCGCTGTAGGGGCGAACTGCCCCTGACATTCCGTCCCTTTGTCACTGTTCACACGCGTACGGAGGGGGGGGGGGGGGGGCTGCAGGCCCTGTGCTGATAGCCAGCAAGTGATGGTCGTAGAAGATTGAATTTGTGGTACTAAGATCTACCCTCCTATGCGGTGGTGACACAAACATGCCTTCAGGCTTACCCCCGCACAATTTCGCTTTGAAGAAGTAGCTACGTTAACGTTTGGATACACCATGTCGCCCAGACCGAGCGGCATTCCTACGCCCGCCAGCCATTTTCTGCGCAACCTAAACGGTCACGCGTGGCAAGACAGCTGTTCCGCACCCTTAAAACGGAAGAAGTCGGCGTCTGCGGAGGAGCAGTCAGGTATCGGCCTATTCATGTCTGGCGCCCAATACACAACACAACACATCCCCGACATGCATTCGTGCATTGCCATGGGGACTACAGGACCGCAACTACGATGTATGCGCACTATAAAAACACCACGAGGCTTAAAACAGCAGCCAATACCGCATAGTTCAATAATTCTGCGATGTACATGGAACAATAACTGCAACTAAAATCGTAGACGCGACCAGCTGAACTGATACGACAATGATGAGGGGTTATTCAAGACTTGTACGCACAATTCATGGACCACAGCGCCCCATTATGCAACCTTTCAAACCCGCTGACAGATCAGATCATTATTTATCAGCGGTCACCAAGCATAACGCACCATCACTGACACAGATATTAAAACGACATCCAACTACAACACACAACACGGGTGCCGCACACAGCCTACCACGTCGCCTCACATTTTCTCATACGTCTGGGAGTGGTCACACTCTGTGCACGTGCGCGTGTACGTGTCCGCCTCCTCATCGTACACCTCCTCGCCGTAAGTGTGCTCGTGGCCGGTCAGCTTCTTCTTGTATACGCTGCTACGCACCGCCATGCGCAGCTCCTTGACGCGCCGGTTGAACTTGTTGACCTTGACCTTCTCGCGCTTCTTGTCGCGCAGCTCGTGCTGCCGCTCCAGTTCCTCCTCGGAGCCCCATACGAGCAGCGCGCGCTCCTCCACCTGCAGGCGCAGGTACAACTTCATCTGACCCCAGCGCGGGTTGTGCGGGTTGCGACGCGTGATGAAGCGCAGCAGCGGTTCGCGCTCGTCCAGGTCCGAGTCGCGCAGGATGTACTCGTTTTTGGCCTCGGTGCGCGTGACAAGCGCGTATTTCTCCGCGTGCTCCTTGTGACACGCATCGCACACCGCGCAGTCGAAGCTGTCCACCAGGAACGAGGAGGCCACGGCCGCGTCGCACTCGTCACACGCCGGTCGCTCCGAAACATGGATAGGCGCCGGGATCTCGCGCAGCGGCGCTGGCGCTGCCGGCGCCGGGTCTGCCGCCTCCTCGTCCACGAAGAAGCCGCCGCCGGAGTCGACCAGGCGTGCACCTTGTACACGCAGTACGCGGCCGGCACAGCCGCCGTCCAGCGCCGCCTGCGACGGGTGCTCGCGCAGCCGCGCCTGGCGCAGCAGCAGCGCCCGCTGCCGGTTGCGCTCTACCAGGGCGCGCTGAGCTCGGCTCATCGGCGCTGGATCGGCCGCGGCTGCGGCAGGACCGGCATCACTTACAGTCGGCTTCACGGACTTGGTCGCATCCAGTTTACGCTTCATGGCCTATTTTTGATCGCTGTGGGATGGAAAAAGGAATAAATTGATGCTACTTGTCACCTGGAGAATCCAATTAGTCATGACCACTTTTTGGTGTAGGTATACATTGCTACCTAACTTAGAAAAAATCATTGTATACCATTCGTCGTGTTCAAGGCGGAACATATTGTAAATAATCTTAAAACACATAGATTCATGCTCCTACCTTCAACTTTTAATATTTATGATAGCGAGCTCCCCAGCGCCGCACGCACCCCACCGCCTCGACTCCCCAGCGCCGTTTCTGCGTTGCTGTTGCGTAATTACAATATTTCTGCTTATCAAGAACCATAAAAAATGCACGGGACCAAAGTAACAATAACAATGCAATGAAAAACATTTCTCATCGCATCTACGCACGTTTATGAAACGGACAGGCCAGAATAGTCCGGAACATAGCCTGAACTAAACTAAACTAGCCCAGCCCAGCCCAGCCCAGCCCAACATAACCCACACCCCATCCTCTTCAACCCAGTGTACCATTGGCATCCACCTTCCATGCCATATATATATGCTGTATTAAGAAGTTTTGTCTAGCTGCCATATTCTCATTTCACTTTTCATTCCCACACAAAAATGTCATATTTCCCCAACATGTTGACCAATCTACAAACAATATGGAAGACTTCTTGGACATGCAAGAAACACATTTTATTGAATTCCTGTCACCTTGGCCTCATACATTTTTAATGGTTCTTGATGCACAGTAATGTTGTGATCACGCAGTAATGTTGCCATCACACATGGAAATGGCGCCCGGGTCGTGGTTGCTGCACGTTTGCGCTCAGATGTTTGCTATCATAGTTATGTAAGTTCCAAGGTAAGGGCGTAGATGACCTGTTTTATAATTAACTACAATATGTTCTGCCTTAAAAATGACAACTGATGTACAATACTCTTTCTTAACATGAGGTAGCAATGTACATCCGACCCATTTTTCCTTTGACTCCCACCTACATTGACTCAATATGGAATTATAAAGTCTGAAAATCATCCCCAACCCCACCTCCTCCCACCCCAACACACAAATTGTCTACAATCCCTTCACATACTTACATGCATGGTGCATGTGAACACTTTCTGAGAACGTCTGGCAAAACGCCTACGGCGATGCTCAAAACGAATTGACTTTGGCGTTAAATTAACTTGAAATTGGCATTGGCCTTCCCCCTCTTTCTGAGGCGTCCCTACCCCTATGTCATACGGCATAGCTGAGCGCGTTTTCTGCAGGCTGCGTACAAATCGGCATTTCCAAAGCAACAAATGGTTCCAAATCCACTAGGACTTTGCTCTCGTACGACCGAGATCATACATACCTCACCATCCGTGGGCAATCCCAATGCCAAGGCCTCAGAACGCAATGCCATGCCCGAACAGCTAACCCAACGTGGGTAATGAAACAATTTTAACCTGCGTCAGTTCTGGCTCTTGCGTCACAAATGTAGTAAGACGATCAATAAAATGCTGCAAAGAGGCTGAAAATGCCTTTTGGTGTTATTTTTTCATTTGTCGAATGTATTAAGTTTTTGACAAGGAAAGAAAGCTTCAAATGATCGAAACTAAGGCTTTCATTGGCACTCTACAATAAAAGCCACGTAGCCCTTTAACGTGGCTCCACACAGCTCCCCAGCAGGACAGCTGGCGTTGCGCAAACGCGTAATGCCTGCGGAGCCAGGTGCTGATAGTTTAAGCGGAAGAAAGCATCAGTTAACACCCTTTTAGTTAATCAATACAGAGTCGAATTCTGATGGAGCTCCAGAAAATCTCACAGTTTTCTTGCAGCGGTAAACGTACACGGTAAAAAATAAGTCCTGGTAGATTTCTTTGCAGCATATTTAGTCATGTTTTATCAGTGCACCACAATTCATATATGGCGCAAGAGACAGAACCAAAGGAAAATAGAATACTTAGCGTGATGTCGCGGATCCAGATAAAGGCGTGCGTGTGTACGTGTGAGGTTTGAGTGGGATGGATTCGGCAGAGTCATTGTGCTCCTTAGCCATTCGAAGTCTCACTTGCATTGTAGGCTTGTGGGTGGGGAGAAATTGTGATAGAAGTTACGGGCCCTGTCCTGCAACTCAGGATTGTGTGTCGCTCTAAAGTTGAATTCAGTTATTGGCAGGTATGCCAGCGTATTGTTTGGTGCCTGGGTGTAGGCCCTCTTCTCGCCGTGTTTCCTATCATTCTCTGCCAAGGAACCAGGAGCTAGCAAAACATTGGTTGGAATTATGTGGCCGCACAGATTTAATTGGCAGCAAATCAGCAACAAATGCCAAAATATGCTCAGCACATTTCCGCAAGTCAGATTTTAAGAATCACTATCAGTACACTCTTATGACATCAGGAAGTTCTGCAGCAAGACCTCGTCTTAAGAATGATGCAGTGCCAACATTTGTCACCCTTGGATGGAGGAAAATCAGGTTGGTAGCTGGGTGACACTTTATCTTGCCATTATATTATTCATCTTGAACCCTGTTAAACCTGTTTCTTATTCAGATTCATAGATTGGTGAGATGTTTCCCTGAATTTCATGTCTGTTATGACTGAATTACCATCTTGGTAGCTAATAGTAAACTACTTACATATTGACTGTTGGCATGTAATCATATGGTCATATAGAATATAGTGAAGAACACGAGTATGCACTACTCACATTGTTTGCCATTATGTGAATTATATGCCACTTTTTTTCTTGACACTCTTAGCAGAAATAGGATTGCTATGACCTCAGCATGACCACATATTTATCCACAAGGTAGAATAATATATATCTTACCTATTAAAACTTGGATGGTCTGCTGTTTAGTGCATCTGAATCCTGAAGTAAGCCTGTATTCAGTGCAGTGATCCATGGTTCTGCTCACCAAGTTTTTTTGCACAGAACTGCTCCTGTGAGCATTCGTCCAGCTTGCATCAACAACCCGGAGCAGGACGAGCTGCGTCAGAAGTATGTGAGTGACGCACTGCAGGAGTATGAGAGTGGCCGTCTGCTGGGTGGCAGCAGTGGTGTGCAACAGATCCGCCACCGGCTCAAGATGCGGCGCGCGCGACGGCCGCTCGTGGACGTAGTGCAGGTGGACCGGCGCGGCGACCAGGTGCTGGTGGGCGGCACATTCAGTGACCTGGCCCTTTCGCCGGAGGCGGACGGCCGGCGCGCGGGAGCCGCCGCGCCCGTGTGGGTGTTCGCGTCCCGCGGGCTGACCGAGCAGCTGGCAGCGGAGAGCGGGGCGGAGGGCGAGGACGCGGACGCGCAGGCGGTGCGGCTCATCCAGGGTGACGTCGGTGAGGCGGACGGCGCGTGGGGCTCGGCTTCACAGGCGGCGGAAGGACTGCACACAGCCTCGCTGGCGAACGGAATGGGCCCGCGGACGAGCCCGCCGCGGGCCTCGGATCCGTGCAGGCCGGCGGAGTCGGGGCAGGCCCGGGGCTCGGACCGGCTGCCGCCCGGCATGCCGGAGAGGTTCCGCGACATCCTAGGCCGGCAGCGTACGATCCGCTCGTTGCAGCTGACTCTCCGCCGGCAGACTGAGCAGCTGCAGGCGCTACAGGCGCGCCACGAGGTCGACCTCGAGGAGCAGGGGTTTGCCGCGGACGTGGCGCCGCTCTTCCCGCCTGCCGACGCCGGGCCTGCCGCCGCCGGAGCCGACGACGCAGCCGGTGGCGACATGCTGCTCTCACCAACCACGCTGGACGAGGCGCACACGCAGCTCCACCGGCTACGCACCGAGGTGCTGGAGCTGCGCGTGCGCGTGCTGGAGAACGCCGTGGTGGCCAACGAGAGGGCGCTGGCGGCCAACGGCCAGCAGGCGGAACTGCTGCGCGTGTTCACGCCGCGGCAGGTGGACGTGCTGCTGGGGCGCCGACCGCGCCAGGCGACGCACTGGGAGCCCGAGGATCTACGGCGCGCCGTGGCGCTGCGCCGCCACCTCACGCGCCGCCAGTACGAGCACGTGCGCGACGTGGTGCGCCTGCCACTGCCGCCGCTGCACGCAGCCGCCGCGGCCGGCCAGCGAGACGCCGAGACGCAGAAGCTGTACCGGCAGCTTCTGGGACAGCGGCGGCCAGCCGCGCCCGTCGCCCGCCGTGAGACCGGTGGCGCCGGCCCCGAGCAGCGGCCGTCGGAGGAGCTGCTGGTGCTGCGCCGCGCCGGCGGGGCGTCGTTGGCGGCGGCGGCGACCGAGTCGGCCGGCCGACTGTGGCAACACTGGGAGGAGATGACTGGGGAGCATGCCGGCGGCGCCTCGTCCGGCCGTGATATGGAGCAGCTGCTGCTGCACCTGCCCGTCACAGACGAGGTGGAGGTGGGTGGCGAAGATCAGGACAGGGACGAGGAGCAGCCGGGGGCGAAGACGGCCCGCACACGACCTATGAGGGTGGCCGTAACACCGTCTGACCGCATGCAGAACGAGCTGGATGCGCATGCATCTCTCTGGGACGACCACTTTCCGTAAAGGCGATCATCTATCACTCCTATGGTGTGCGAGATGTGCCTTTTGTGGGCCACCGCGCCCAACCATCTTCAGTGGACGTTGTTCGGTGCGCTCTTGATAGACTGCTTTTTGTGGAATGATTCATCGTTTCCGGACGTCAATTGTGAACTGTTTCGATCTGGTTAGGGAAGCTGCATTCATTCGCCCTCTGTCATCGCTATATTATACACGTGTTTCTTCATCTTTGGCATCTATTCTATAGTTATTTTTCTTGTGTGAGGGCGATTTCACAGAGTGTTTCGGGAATTTTGTTATTGTGGCATTGTCAATGGACATTGTATTTCCCCATTGTCGTCATCGTATTTAAACCATATACTACCTGCGACAATGTTGCTGTGTGTCTTGTATTTCTGTGAACATGCTTAGCTTAAGAGTGGCTGCAGTTGAAAGAGGCTGACCTTGGCAGAGCTTTGGTGACTTGAGTGAAGCCTGTAAGCGTGACGGTATAACTGCTGTATTGGTCCATGCAGACGAACAAATACAGGAGTGTTATTGAAAGGCCCAGTTATGTATATTGCAAGTTTGGTGATGTCATGTGCAGCCAGAGTTGACACCGTGCACTCGATTATTGGCGTTTGGTTGCTGGACATGAATATCTGGTATCGTCCCGAGCAGCGCGGCGGTGCGATCGGGTGGCCAGCGGGTCGCAGTGTCAATCAGATAGTCTATCTAGGATGCCTAGTCACGCACTTCCGATTTGGACACATCGTGCATACATGTGGCAAGTTACGTGTAGGCCAGCGGTAGCACTTTCTGTAAATTATTGGGGGGGGGGGGGGGGCGAGCCGAAGGCCCGATAACCTACCCCCCCCCCCCACACACACACTTTTTTCTCATTGGATGTAGCCCACTTAATCTTGATTAAACGCAATGTGTGTTTTTAATCTTTTTTTGTGTTACCAAAACTTTTAATTTAAGCAGTATAGAAGTCCCGCAGGGGTGGATTCCGCGAGCAGGCACTGGCAGTACGCGTCTCTTCTGATCGGCACGTGAAAGCGTCCCTTAAGAGGCCACCTTAGGGCGCCGGTGGTGCTCTTCTATGGCGGTCATGAGAGGCGGCACGTATTTTGGTTGTGGAGACGGGAGCGAGGTTAGCCATGACAAACTTAAGTCATTCCGATATTCCAGAGCTTTTCACTCAACCTCAAACCATTACGTGTCTTATCGCGCTGGGTATGTGAATTTTGTTGCATCGTGTATCTGCTCAGCTGTTACGATTTGTATCTGGTGGTGAGAGCAACAATGGCGTTTTGTTATAAAAGGGCACCAGACGCCACTACGCAGAAAGATCAAAACAGATAGTTTTTGCGTTTTTATCATCTTTTGCCCACGTTTTCTGTAGTATTCCAACCAGCACCATTTGGGGAGGGGGCAACTCAACACGGGGACAGGTCTCTCAAAATTATACAAATCGACACCTGTGGTGTGGGGGCTGACGATCTTTTCCGTTTGATGCGGATCTGAAGTCCGAAAGCCCTATTATTGAACCATGTATATGTTCAAGTCCCGACAGATGTACAAAAATACTGGATGACAGCAGAACGAACAAGTGACTTGGGCGGCTTCGAAGCGGGTCAAGTTATGATGGATGCAGTTCTAGGCTTCTGCGGTATTTTATCAGTACTGATGATTAACAGAGTTAGACATGTGACGTGTGATGGTACCTAAACAATTTGCACGCTAAGTGGTGGGGCGCGAGCTCCGTAGATCTGTGCCAAATTTGGCCTGATGACATGGCTTCTGCAGCTGAACAGCGCGCGCCCTGCATGGATTAGCGGGGACCACCGAGGCAACCATGACCATAGAAACAACGTGAATCCTGAGCTGCGCTTTGCCTCAAAAGTGCAGTCACGCAGTTATTCAGGGCTAATTAGGCAACGCACATCAAACTTAACCAGCCTACGCGTCCTCAACGCAGGTGGAGTACTACTGAAATAGGCAGTGCGTACACACGCTCCAAAACGGAGGGCACAGGACTTAAACACCCTCCAAAAATATTTCAGATGGTTATGCGTGTCAAGCGTACGAGGATTGGCAGTCTTGGAGGGAAGAAAGTGCCAAAATGCAGAATGCTCTGCGAAAGGTCGATTCTATGTGTGATAGGCATCAAACGATCACGAAATTTATCAACTCACTGAACCATTTTTTTATCACGAATTTTCGGCCACCGGGCTCGCATTTCCAGTGGGCGCATGGCTGGCGTGCTGGTCTCGCACGCGGTAAACTCCGGATTCGAATATCAACGACGGCCGCCGTTGAGTGGGTGGTTTCATGGTCTATCGGCGCGGCGTGAAGCTGCCAACTCGCTTCACTTCTAAGCGGAATTAAATCTTAATAGCGCGTTTCATATCGGGCAGCACCGTAGTTTCTAATGCTAGGGGGAAGGAGTCCACACTCTGCAGGGATATTGAGGATCCCGTGAAGGTTGACCGTAAATATAAATGGGTGCGACACACTGAACAGCCAGTGGAAATGACGAAGACGACGGCGGAGGCATGTATAATTCCGTTTGGCAATTGCGCGTAAAAATTCATCGGCGCGTGTTCGACCGCTACTTAAAGGCGAAGGCACCAAGGCCGATAGGGACGGAACCTGAGCGGTCATGGGTGCCGCAGGAGACCAACACAGTGGCTCCCGTCAACACGTATAGGGTCCTCAGAGCAAGCAAAAACTGAACTCACGTGGTGGGCAAAGGTGGTGGGCCCCTAAACGATCGGTAGAGCCTCGGCAGGCTGACCTATGGAGCCCCGGTCATAGCACAGGACCCTCCGAGTAAAGGGGGAATTATTTAAGACTATAAATGAATACCCCTGTGCAATGAAGAGTGCACGGGCAGGTTAACAACACGAGTCTCGATAGGAGTGAAAAGTCAGCCGCAAATGAGACCAAAGAGAGAGCCCTCGATCAAAGTAGAGGGTCCCTGAGCATCGAGCGTCTTCGTGCCTTACCTTATAAGAGCCCTAGCAACGGCACAAGGCCCTTCAAGCAAGTAGAAAGTACCTGAGATTTATATGAAGGCCCCCTGAGCAGCTGAGTGTACTCTGGCATATGCGGCCCCAGAAAAAGTGTATGTAGCCTTTCGGGCGAATGGGAAGAGTCCGTGGAGGAAAACCCAATTGATCAACACTGCTCAAGCATGGAGGCAGATGGCGTCCCAACAGCACATTGGGCCCTACGAAAAATGTGAAGAGATCAAGGGTAACGTGGAAAGCTCCTTAGCGATCAGACTGACGCAGCACGTGGACATAAAGGGACAGACAGCCAGCAGCGTAATGCCTCTAGACAGCGTAATGAGACCCAAAATTCCCCCCCAAGCAACACTAAATCAGCGAAGAATAAGCCTCGTTTACTTATGAACTCTTTACTTTTGCTAGCAATGGTTCTTGGTCATCTCTAGACCCAAATGCGTTCAATTTTGTTGTGCTTTTGTTGTAAGGAAACTGCATCCGTCCGGCCGGTTACGGGCCCCTTCGGAGCCTTTAGGTTCCCTCGGTATGGCCCATGGTACATGGTCCTGTGCCTCCCCCCACCTCCCCCCCCCCCCCCCACCCTCTGCATCCGCCATCGGCCGGGGCAGCTGAATAAATGGGGCCCGCTAAGAACATAGGGCCATCCATTCAAATAAGAAATACTCACGACACAATGTGTAGGGCTCTGAGCGATCGAGTGCGCCAGAACAAGTTAACATGTATGGCCCCGTCAAGAGCTTGGGGCCCTCCATTCAAAAAGGAAGTATCGAAGACCCAATGTAGGGCCCCCCCGAATGATCGAGTGTGCCCGAGCAGGTTAACAGATAATGCTCCCAAAAAGAGCATAGGACCCTCCATTCAGATAGGAAATATTCAAGACCCATTGCAGAGGACCCTCGAATGATCCAGTGCGTCTGGCCAAGTAAAGAGACAGTGCCTGGTCAAAAGTGTAGGGCCCCCCCTCATTCAAATAGGAAACACCCAATACCCAATGTAAAAGGCCCCCCGAATGATCGAGTGTGCCCGAGCAGGTTAACAAATAGGGCTGCCAACAAGAGCGTAAGGGCCTCCATTCGACTGGGAAGCACGGAAGATCTTAGGTAAATGGCCCCAGAATGATGTAATGTGCCTGCCGAAAAGAGTGCCGGGCCCTTCATTCAAATAAGAAGTATTCAAAACCCAGTGCGGAGGGCCCCCGAAAGATGGAGTATACCCGAACAGATTATCAGGTGACCCAGACAGGAGTGTAGGGCCCTAAATTCAAGCACCAAGACCCAATATATAGGGTCTCCGAACAATCCAATGTGGCCGAAGCGGCGAACAGATGGGGTCCCCGACAAGTGCGTAGGTCCCTCTATTCAGATAGGAAGTACCCAAGACACAATGTGGAGGGCCTCTGGATATTCGAGTGTGCCCGAGCAGGTTAACAGATGAGGCTCCGGCAAGAGCGTAGGGCATTCTGTCCAAATATGGATTACCCACGGCACGATGTAGAAGGCTCCGAATAACCGAGTGCGCCAGAGCAGGTTAACAAATAGAGTCCCCGAAAAGAGCGAGGGCACTCCATTAGAAAAGGAAGTACCCAAAACCAAACGTAGAGGTCTCCCACGATCGAAAGGGCCCGAGCATCTTATCAGATGGGGGCCCCGACAGAAGCTTAAGGCCCTCCATTCAAATAAGAAGTACCTAAAGCCCCCTGCGGAGTGTCCCGAAAAATGGAGTGTACCCGAACAGGTTATCAGATGACCCCGATACGGGCAGAGGGCGCTAAATTCAAACACCGAGAACCAATGCGCAGGGCCCACCAGCAATCCAGTGTGGCCGAGGAGTCGAACAGAGGGGCTCCCGACAAGTGCGTAGGGCCCCATTCAAATAGCACGTGCCTAAGGCCCAATATAGAGGGCCCCCGAACGATCAAATGTGCCCGAGCAGGCTATCAGATGGCCTCCCCCCCCCCCCCCACACAGAAGCGTAGGCTCCCCATTCAGAAACGAAGTACCAAAAACCCAGTGTAGACGGTCCCCGAACGACTAAGTGTGCCCAAGCAGGCCATTAGATGGGCCCCCGACAAGCGTGTAGGGCCCTAAGCAAGTGACAGAAAATTGGAAACGCCCTAGACCAATGTAGAGGACCCATGGGCATATCGCAAGTGTGTAGGTGCAAGTGTCGGTAGGTGAACCGATACCCACGTAAAGGGCCCCTGAGCGACCGAGAAAACCAGGCAGGTTAAGGTACGGGAATCTGGCTACCGCTCACAGAGCCTATCTGGCGAATGGAAATCATCCATGGAACGGCCCGCGATTGACATGAGTTCCCCGGCACGCTAGCAGGAAGGACCCCAACAACAGCGCACGGGGCCCTCTGGGCAAATGCAAAGAAATAAAGGACAACGTGGAACGCTCCTAAAGGACCGAAATGAGCCTGCAAGAGGAGTACAGGTCCCCCGGAAACAGTATGGGCCCTAGACAGTGTAATGGGGCTCACAATTTCCATTTCACAACTTTTCCAATCATTGAGTAATTTTGGGACTTCTCATAGGCCGTTCACTTTCGCTTACAACTGTTCTTGGTGGCTTGTAAGTCCAGAGGAACCCAGTTTTGTTTCGTTTTGTGCGAAAAAAACTGCACCTTCTCGACCGGCTATGGGCCCCTCGGAGCCAATGGGCCCTTCGAGGCCCAAAGGGAGGACATGCCCGTGGCCCTCCTTTCTGGATCCGCCTCTGCTTGTTGCTGTACGTTCGACTGCTTGTTACTGTACGTTCTTGGGGATAATTATGTTATTTTCGACTTTTCGCCCCTCCTCGAACTCGGTTTGCCCTTGATGTCGGACTGCCGTGGGGAGAAAGGAATTGCTCCTTAGCCTGAAGTGTTATTCAGGTGACCAGGACGAAATCTCAAATGGGCGCATCGTAAATCTGATATGGGACCGGAAGGGCTAGCTAAAGGTCATTGAGGGGGCGCGCGTCGGACCCTCAAAAACCAGCCAGAGGACCTGTTGCACCCACTGGGCCCCGGCATGGGCCTGGGAGCCATTTCCCAAGCAGGGACAAGGTCAGGACCCGCGATTTACATTGGTCGGTGCACCCCGAGCCAATGAGGAGCCCCTGTGTCGGCCAGGGGCACACAGCGCCTAACCGGAGGTCCGGCGTTGACAAGGACCCCCGAGTTAGTCATGGAGTGTACGAGGGTGCCTGAAGAGAGACCGACGTGCCCTTCAAGACTGACAATAAGCGGGTCGGTGGGAAGACTGAATGGCCGTGAGGGTCGAAAGGCTGCAGGTCATCCTGGCCCGTATGGCTGTGATTCCAAATGTCAGCCAATATGCCTTTTTCGCCGATTGCGGACCTCTGGAACAGTGCGAGCACCTATTTCGGCCGGAGACCACTACACCGAATAGTGGACTCCGTGTTGTTTTGAGGCATGAGGCCCCATTTCTTTAGCAGGAACGAGACCGAGGCCCGTGATTTGCATTGGTCGGAGTCCCTACAACAATGAGTGGTCTCTTGACGGTCAGGCTCCAGAGTGTCCAACAGGGGGTCCTGTGACGGAAGGAGTTCCAAGTCGGCCAGAGGTGACCCGGGGCCCTTGCGGGGCCCTTCACCACGTTTTAGCCAAGGGTCCGTTGGCCAAACATGGGTCTCTGTGCCAGTTATTGGATCACCTGCGGTTTTCAGAGATCTTGCTGCCCCAATGAGGGCTCTTGCGCCTATTCCGGGTCAAATACCCTGGCCAGAAGCCGCAAAAGGGCCTCCCACGCCAGGGAGGACACCAATGTAGGACGTACATGTATGAGGACCTCCGGACGAACACGTCAGGCGAACCCGCCTCCATGTCACCAGAACGGCAGCTGATAGACATCCCGGGCTGGGACGAAATGATCTTCAAGCAGTGCCTGGAAGGGTCGTATTCACCCAACTTTTCACTAATGTTTACACATTTCACACATTAAATTACACATATTGTCTAGAAATTACACATTTCTCATTAATGTTTACACAAGTTGCTGGCCTCATTTAGATTTACGGTGAACCTTCACGGGATCCCCAATATCTCTGTAGGGGGTGGACTCCCTCCCCTGGAGGGCCGGTGTCCTCCTTGTCTTTAGTCCTCCCTCTGGCATAAAAAACCACGCTGCTGTCCGAACGAAAATCCCACTAAGAATTCATCCCGCTTAGCGAGTTGGCATGATCACGCCACACCGATAGGTCATGAAGCCATCCTCTTAACAGCGGCCGTCCTCGAGACTCGAACCCGGGCTTACCGTGTGCGAGACCAGCATAGCAACCATCCATCCACTAGATATGCGCGCTCGGCGGCCGAAAATTTGTGATCAGAATAGGACTGGCTCAGGATGAGTTGATGGATTTCGTGATCGTTTGATGCCTATCACGCACAGAGCCGTCTTTTCGCACGGGATTCTGCATATTTGCACTTGCTTCCCTCTAAGGCTGGCAATCCGCGTATGCTTGACACGCACAACCATCTGAAATATTTTTGGAGGTTGTATAAGCTCGGTGCGTAACCGCCCTCCATTTTTGAAGGGTGTATAAGCCCGGTGCGTAATCACCCTCTGTTTTGGAGAGTGAATAAGTCCGGTACGTAACCGCCCTCCGTTTTGGAGGGTGTATACGCGCAGCCACTGAAAAGTGCCATGGGCGCTGCAGCAGCACCAGTCTAGATGCGTTGGTAGTAGCGTGAACACGTTAAGATTCGGCTGTTGCCGAGTTCAGAAACAATACTCACTGATCGCTTAATGGGCTCAAGGACATTAAATGGATTCTTTTTATGGTCGATCTGTCAGTGTGTTGCAGGTTTACGTCTCCACGACATAAAACGGCAGCTGTTTAGTCACGTTTCGTTGTTGGTCGAGAAAATCCGTCAGGGCTGCACGCTCGCTCCGTATTGCTTGCGCAGTACGAATAGACGTGTGCGGGGGTTTGGTGGGGCGTGTGGCGCAGAGCAATTGCTTGATCATTGACCGAAGTGCAGAACATTGGCTAGTCCCTGCTTTTTTCGGTCCCAGCCTCTGTGTTCGCCTGTGAGCTGAAGGCACTAGTCCGTGAGGGCACTCGAACCGCAAGCCGAACTAAGGTCCGAGGCGCATTGAAACGCCGCTGTGCCTAAAAGGTACCGGTTCCATGGTTAGCGAAGATAGGGGCATTTGATAATATCGAAGCGTTCAAGATAGTTGAGTGACATTGGGCTTATATAGCTCTTTCTGGAACGAGGGTGTTCTGCGCTGACGTCTAGGATGGGTGCATAGGCTCGCAAAACAAGGCTGAAGCAAGTCATATTTACATAGATTGAATATTTCACCAAGCATGAAGATCATCACTGTATTTATTTCTATAGCACTATGCATGGGCAGTACAATAGCATCATCCAGCAGCAAGTTACAGAAAGGCTGGACTCAGCATTTTGTTGTGAGTGATGATAATCTTGAGTCAGAAGAACAAACAAATGGACATGAGAGTGTCAGGAGGGCGAGGAGTGCTCCACTGGATTTTCTAGGACAAGGAATCCCTACAGCTGATAAGAACATCACAACTGTGGTATGTTGATGGCTTTGTATTCTTTTAAAAGCTTATTTTTCAGAACATTATGTTTACTCTTAAGCTGCATGTTGGGCCACAAACATTAACCATTGATGATGTTTTTTGAACTCCCTTTACATTAGCATTATGGTGGCCCTTTTTCGATTGCTGAATAAAATGCTTCTGATTATGTGCATTATCTTTGGCTCACATACAGGAAGGACATCCTAAATGGTGCCAAGTAGTCAGACTGGTGTAAGCATTAACATAACTTATAAATGACCTGGACCCAGTTTCAGCACCACTCCTCTAGGCATTGTATGCAACTAAAATATAGTTCTGCCCTATGTAATATGAAAACTGGATGTAATTCCAGTGGTGTGCATGCTGGCAAGCATTCCAGTTGAGCAGAGGCATTGTTAGGTGACCTTCTATGCTCCCACAGGTGGAACTCAATGACACCCATCATTCCGGCCTAATCCACTGGGCTGGTGATGGCTCGGACCTGGTCATCTGCCTAACTCGGGACATGGTGATCATGCCAAACAAGCCCAGTGGCATCCATGTGTCATTTGACTATGGCCGCTCCTTTGTCAATATCTCTGGCAACTTCACACTGGAGGATGGCTCACCAGCCATCATCAGCCGTTTCTTCGAGCACCCTAGTTTCAACGACATTGTAAGTACCTGCTGCATGCCAGTTGCGATGTGTGATCAGTTTAGCTGTATTCTACTTTGAGCTGTTTCTGCTGAGATGAGTTGAGCTGTTGAGTTTGTTGAGCCATTTCTCATTTCTTTATAGTGAGGGTTATACACAATGTGAGAAGTTGCAGCAGATACTATTGTGGAGAGCTGTTAATGTAGTGCCTCTGAATGGACAATGCTTTAAGGCCTGGATAAGAAGCATGAGTTATTTTTTGTGTGGGTACTGCCATCCTGAAATCAAAGCTCTGCAGATACTTTGGAGTGCAAGTTAAATGAGGGCTTTCATCATGGTTGTCAAATGGTTCAGGAGTCTAACAGTAATTGTGTATTTTTCATTTTATCTCCAGATTTATCCCCCAAAATGAGAGCTTTTGCAGTATTTTCGGACAGCAATAGTCATGACCTGGGTTGTTCTTTATGGCATTCAGCTGTCTTGAAAAGGAGTGCATTTATTTGTTCCTGGCACATATATTTGGGAATTGATTGTTTTGAGCCATTAGCATCCAGCCTTCACCTCCATGAAACATGTAATTCATTGCCTGTAAGCTATAAGGTGTGGTATCTGGCATACAGTTGTATGCTGTGAATCATGTAAATTATTTCTTATTATTAGAATGGATAACAAATAGAAAGCTGTAGTGGAATGAGTAGAAGGCCTTGTTGGAATGAGTAGAAAGCTTTATTGGAATGAGAAGAAATCCCTAGTGGTTTTGAGATTACACATATCAATTTCCACATGTGTCATGTGTATCACACATATCCTTTGTAAGTTAAGAACCACAGTTACTCACTATAGCTTGGCTTAACTCAGTTTTAGAACCAAGTACTTCTTTGCTCTGACTGACTTTCATGGACTCAAGTCCCTTCAGCCAAAATGCCTGTTTAGGAATTTGATTTGGTTTCAAACACCAAACTAAATACATTGTATGTTTGCCATATTATACCTATTATATTACCATGCTTTATCATTGATGCCCATAGGTTGTATGCTTGCCATATTATACCCATTATATTACCAGGCTTTATCATTGATACCCATATTTGATTCAGTTTTCTGTGTGGTAGGGCCCAAGACCTTGAGTTTCTGTTTTAATGCTGTTGACTGCTTCCATGCTCACATCTTGCCTGCCTCCCTGCTTCCTCCTGCATGTTCCCTGGGATAATGGCCGGGGCACAGGTCGCTCCATCAATGAATGGCTGGATTGGTCCCTTCAGTGTTATTCAGCGAAGCATACCATTGAATGCTGGGTCTGCCAGCAGTGCTTCGTCATGTCGGCGAGACAGCGGGGTCCTCCAGTTACTGTCGGTGACATCGGAACTGTGGCGTCACATCCGCTATTCTGATACCTTGTTCCCTACCGTAGGGCTGCATGAAAATTCCATACCAATGAATGTGTTTGGGAGGGGGGGGGGGGGGCAGGGGGCATCGAGGGGAAGCGGTGGAAATAAGGCCTGTTCCCGATCGCCGTCGTTTTGACAGCGCGTAGCCTTAAACACCCAGGCGCGTCCAGCCTCCCGCTGCCACCACAGACCCTCCGCTCGTCCCGCTCGCGAACGCCGCGATAGAGCCATCAGAGCTGAGGGTGACTGGCTCAGAGCGGCCGGCGCCGACCCACGTGACGGGGGCGGCTGGCGGACGCGTCACGTCACTGCCGGCGTGACGATGAGTCACCCGCCACACCGCCGGCCGGGTGGCGCGTGGCGGCCGCGGGCGGCTCGCCCCGGCGCGTGATCGTTCTATGCCGGGGGCTGCCGCAATGTTGGCGCTCTCTGACCTGGGGTCGAACTGTGATGACGGGTCGGAGTGGCCTTAAAACCAGGCTACCGCCACGCCGACCAGCATGGAACACGGACGACGCAGCCATTTATTTTTTTTAAGTAGCTGTTGCAAGGCGTACTGCCTGTGAACAAATGTGACATTTGTTGAACGGGCAATGTTTTTCTCATTTGGCTCAGTTCCGGAATGAGCCACACGAGTGCAGTCTATTGATGTCACCGGCAGTGCAGTCATTAATGATAATGGACAGAGAGGTTCAAAGCTAGGCTATCGGGAAGCGAGTGACGAACCGTTGCCGGCGCAGTTTCTGTGCCAGCACTTCAAATATAGGGCACCGGACTCAGGCAGTGCACTGTAACTGGACGCCCGTCTGTGGAGCCGAGACTGCGGACCGGAGGCGCGCTCGCCCAGTCTTGGCTTCCGTTCTTCTCTATCGGCACACGCCATTCACCACTGCATGCTCTGTTCCCCACCCCGAGGGGGAGGGGTAGGGTAGTGGTCGAGCGCGTGACTCGTTGCATCGTAGCTGGCCGGCGGCCGCCGCGGCCAGCTACGATGAGTGCAAATCGCCGCACGGAGCGTCCTCACCAGGGGCGCGGTCCGAGTGCGTGCCGGGCGACGAGCCGCCGGACCGGCGGCGCCCACAGCGGCGCGCGGCCTCGGCCTCGGCCTGGCGCATGCGATGTCCACATAATGGTCGGGCACGCAACGGCTTCGACACTGCGGCTATATGTGTTGAATACGGATTGGATGTCATTGTTCGGCTGTGGCTGTGACACTGGGGTTTTCCGGAGGACAGAGGGTCGGCAGTCGTGCTGTGCGGATTTGCCGTATTTGTGTTGAGCTGAAACTACAGCGTCCAGATCAAGGACGGCGTTCAGTTGCCCAGTTGCCCGTCATCACATCGTGCACGCTTGTTCTTATATTATGACATATGAACAGTTGGAGCGGTCTGGGAGGTGAAGATCAAAGGCCTTCGTGGATGTGATTCGCCTGCATATTGGTCTTTGCGGTTGACCTGTAGTCCGAACAGCAAATTGTGCTAAAGCTGGTGAACAAATGCATGACCAAGTCTTGTGTGACCGCTGCGGATAACATTCATTGAGGTTGGCTGGTGAAAAAAACCAATACTCAAAGAACCGGTCGCTGCTAAGAAGTCATTGGCTTTATGCTCTGGGAAAAGGCGAGGCAAAACGCTGCGATTTGATGCTAACATGGATATCCAATGGCAGCCGTCAGACACGGACGCCATTCCTTTCGTGAATCAGGGACTCATCTGGCCCACAACGGCGCGGCGGATGTTTTGGGTGGCATTTCCGGTTGGCGTTCGGAATCGCTCTAAGCGCACATTCCAGGGCCCTTCCCTGCCTCCAGGGCCCTTCCCCGCGCCCACGAGGGCCCGCTTACCAAGTCTGCCTGTGAAGTGCCGCATCCCCTGTGAGGATTTGGCAGCGGCGGGGAGCCGGCGCCTGCTCGTGCCTGCCGTTGGAGGCTGGGTGTTCCCCGCTGCGGGACGAAGGGGGGGGGGGGGGGAGCGGCGACCCTCGGGGTCAGGACCGGTGTCGGACGCACCAGTGGATGAAGGGGACAGGGTGCTGGGGTGGCACATCGGACCCTACCAGGTGTGGCTTACTCTGGCGTTCGGCGTCACGGGAGACAGCCGCCCGCAATGACGTCACTGCGGCCTGATCGCGGAGAAGATGATGTAAACAAACCCGGACAGGTGCTAAGCGTTCGTTGTCGGCGGTCAGTGGGTGATCGTTGTGAACTTCTGAAGGTTGTAGCGGATTAAGGGTATTGTTCAGAGCAGTTTTGGAATGCGTACATCGGATGAAAGACTTGAGGAACGCATTTTTCGGTGGACAGTGGCTGCTCGTGATGAACCTCTGAAGGTTGTAGCTAATTAAGGATGTTGTTTAGAGCGTTTTGGAATCCTTACATCGGATGAGGACTTAAGGAACCCATTTTTCGATGGACAGTGGGTGATCATGATCAACTTCTGAGGGTTGCAGCGGATTAAGGATGTCGTTCAGAGCGTTTTGGAATGCGTGCATCAGGATGAGGACTTTTCGGCGGGCAGTAGGTGGTCGTTGTGATCTTCTGAAGATTGTAGCGGATTACGGGTGTTGTTCAGAGTGTTTTGGAATGTGTATCTCGGATGAGGACTTTGGGAACCAACTCTTTGTCCGACTATGTGGGTTTTATGAGCAGAACTAAATTCAGATATTATTTGAACTGTGCGGTTCATCGCTTGCAACGGTCTAGATTTACTTTGGTACTGAAATAATTTTTATTGCTTTCGGATTAACTTAATCAGATTGGGATTAACTTGATCGGACTGGGATTGACCTGATGGGAGTGATTGGCTGATCGGATTTGTGTTGTTTTTTTAATGCGTTTGGCTGGGTCTCACAACAAGATGTCAGGACACCAGCTCATGGCCGAAGTGCCCGATTTGGTGTTAGGGGACAGTAATGGCATTTGACGCCTTTGTGGGCAAGTGATGAGCGCCTATCTGGAAGTGGACTTCTCTACCTCGCTACCTAGGCCTTTTCCCCACCCATGACCCAGCTGAAGTTGACTTATCGATGACTTTTTCTATTGGCGGAGCCCCCGGCTGGCGGGGCCCCGGCTGATCAGCACGCCCATCGGCAGTACGTCTGTCGTCGGCACGGTAGTGATGGGCTGGCGGGTGGCGGTGCAACCACGGGATCCCGTCCAGGATAGGCCGCGCCCCACCGCGCGGCGGGAAGCCAAATCAGGGGAAGACATTGACCTTGGCATTTCCTTGAAGATGATTATTGCCGGACCCTGTCTGGCAGCCTTTTGTAGCGGGCGCCCGTCCAGTCGACTTTTGTAGCGGGCGCCCATCCAGTCGATTTCGTGCCGCATGGGATGCGGTGAACCCACACGGCCCGTTCCTCTATCCACCTGCATTGGACATGTGCATTGTTGATGGTACCGGATAGTTCCCAACAGTTACAGGTTGAAGTCGGGTTAGTTTTACATATGAGGGGCACCCGGAGTGGCGGATGCGCACAGTCATGACTGTCTGTGTCTTTGGACTGCCGTGTCTTGGGAAGCGTGTCTGGTGTCGGTGGCGCGCTGGACCCGAGTCCAGCCTTAACGCGCCAGGTGGTCCATCTCCGGAGGTGACAGGGGAGGGGGTGGTTGGGCAGTGGCGCCAGCGACCCTTCCGACATCCCCCTGTTGTGTGTAATGCGAGAGCTGACCTGGGGTCCGGTTCGGTGACGGCGGTGGAGTGCACAGCAGCCCGCAGCCCGCAACCAGCGCTGGAGTGCAGCGGCCCGCAGCCCACAACCAGCGCTTGAGTGCAGCGGCCCGCAGCCCACAACCAGCGCTGGAGTGGCGTGGCTCGAGCTCGGGGACAAAAACAGCAACAAAATGACACAGATTGGAACGGAACGGAACGGAACGGAACGGAACGGAACGGAACGGAACGAAATCTTGCTGGGCTATTTCATTCGTAATTCCGGGCTGGTTGCGGTTCTGGGCTGACGTCTTTATCCGTGTAAGCCTGGTGTTTCCTGTTCGGCCACTTTGAACGAGATCCCGAGAGGGAACTTTGTTTTCGAACCCAGGTATGGCGCAGTGCGACCCTCGTCACGTTGCTGTGAATTGATCCGCACTGAATCTCGGGGACCTGTCGCGTCAACTGCCGAGAGTGAGAGCCAGCCAGACATGGCGTTTGTGTACGCTTGTGGGCGTCTGTTCGTCTGCCCACGTGCTAGGATACGCCCCCTGCGCACGCGGAGGACGCTGGCGACGCGACGACATAGTGACTCTGGCTTTTCGTCGTCTTGTGCAAGCCGACGCCGCGGTTCTGGAGACTTTGGACGGCTGATAAGCCTTAGAAATCGGTCAGGCGCCGGGAATGCCGCGTCACGTGTTGTGCTGCGCTGGAGCCGTTCTCCGACCATCATATTCCAGGGACACACGCTGTCTGTTGCGTGGACGCGTGCGGAGACTCACTGCTGTGGTCGCGTGCTTCCGCCGCCACGTCGTCTCCGGCTTCCGTCGGCGGTTTTCGGTGGCGGCTGGTGCACTCCATCGACTCGGTCCCACGTGATTCCTCCCCACCCCAGTGCAGGGGAGGGCTGATGATGAGCGGCGGCGTGGCTCCCCTCGCTCCTCTCCCGGTGGTTGAGGCTGCCCGCCCGCGGTTCTCGACGCGGTTCCCGGTTAGGGCTGGAGACTGTTACGTAATCAAGGAAACCCATTCATACAATGGCGCCCCTGTAAAGCGCATTGGGGTGGGCTGTGAAGCCGCCTGAAATAACGATGGCGTGTCGGCTTGCCGCCGGTTGTGTTCCATCACGCCGTGCTCAGCTGACTGGCTGGTGACTGCCGGCCGCCGTCAGTCCCGCTCGACACGTCTGGGGGCCGCGTCCCCGCTCGGGAGGCGGCCGGCCCGTGTGAGTCAGCCCGTACACTTGCGCGGCGGCGGCCGCCGACGCCGCCCGGGGGTGGCGGCGTGAGTCAGCGCTGCTCTGGCCGGTCTCGTGGCACGGCGGGTTCTGCCGCCGACGTGCTCGACCGTCCGGCGGGCAGCCGCCGCTCGGCTCGTGGTGGGAGGAGCCGGCCGAACGTCAGCAGGCCACCGGCTGGCGCAGGCCGGCAGCAGCACGAGATAAACGAAGACAACGGATGGGGGGATCCGCGCGGTCGGCCGCCGGCGGCGGAGGCGGGGAGCGGGTGGGCTCTCCCCGCCGTCGCCCCGCCGACGGGATGCAGCCAATGATATCAGCGGCGCTTGACTCCGCTATTTTGAAGTGGCACGTAATACAGACGAAGGGTTGGACGGGAAGCGGTCGAAGGCGTTCACGTGGGGCGGGCTCGACCGTCCGGGGGGCAGCTGCCGCTCGGCTCGTGCTAGGAGGGGCTGGCCGAACGTCAGCAGGCCACCGGCGGACGCAGGCCGGCAGCAGCACGACCGCCGCCAGATCAACGCAGACAGCGGATGGGCGACACTCCGGTGAACTTGTCTGTTTTGGCCCCACAGTTGGAAGGTCTCTGTTTTGGCCCCACAGTTGGCAGGTCTCCGTTTCGGCCCCACAGTTGGCAGGTCTTCTGTTGCGTATCCAATCCATGGGCGTGATCCAGTCAAGCACGTTCGTGAAGGAAAATGATTATCTTTAGTCGGCTGCCGCAGATGATCTTGGAATTGACGTGCTAAATTTTTCAATGCGCTTGCTGTAATTACATCATATTTCTGCGACGCACTGTTCAGCAGGCAACATATATCTTGCCAAGCAGTCGTGACATTGCCATGACAGTTAGTCTTGCCCTGGCACATTCTAAGGGCGAAACCTGCGTGAAATCTTGATCGTTCGTGTCTCAGCTCTACTTAGTTATTAGTGCGGTGTGTGGCATTTTGAGTAATGTGGTGGACGTCGTGGTGGTGAACATCGTGAGCAAAAATCGTGCCGTGGCTTGAGAGAGATGAGGGCAGAGTAGGAAATCCACAGGGATGATCCACACAAGTCATCTGTCACCAAGTCACCTGTCATCACTTGAGTGTCAACTGGTTCCCTCACTGCTGTCCCACGTCACCTTACAAGATTGGAACATAAAATGGAAGAGCACTGGCATTGGCGGTTTCAGGATCACGATACAGGGAAGGACACAACACAAAACCCCGCGTGTTTAACAAAGGTGTTGTACGCAAATTGTAGCCTCAAAATACATGTTTTTAGGTAGTGGTTATGATGATGATTATCCATGATGTGTGCAAGAAAAGTGATGCATTATTGTTGTGTGCCTTTTTGTGTGGTGTTTGCACCCAAAATGCTTGTTTTCGAAGCTGTCCGATTTAATAGATTGAGCATCTCGCGTATTCCGTGCGCAGTATCCAAACCCCGGGACACTCCGGTGAACTTCTCTGTTTTGGCCCCACAGTTGGCAGGTCTTTTGTTGCGTATCCAAGCACTGAAATTTTCGGAACCGCCCTGGTTTTTGCGGCCTGCCACATGTCGTCAAAGGGATTACTCATCATGCCCAGCTGTGCCGGCATATGTCGACTCATCGCATGTCGGAAGCCGCATCGCATGCAGGCGCGGTTTTCCCCGTTGGTCGTTGGTAAAGCTGTACTGTTGCCACGCGCTGGTTTTGTAATGCAATTAACGCACACCTCTGTGTCCTGCACGCACAGACTCACACACCAGATAACTTCTCGTTTCCACCCGTTTGCAGTACGTGTTTACGGACAAGATCAACAAGCAGATCTTCGTGACGGAGGAATATCGCCAAGGGCGTCAAGCGCCACGCTGTCGACTTCGTGCCCTCCAAGATCAGCTTCGACCCGCACAGACGCACCGTGTTGCTGGCCTATGACGAGAACATCCAGTCGGTGAGACACCGGCGACGCATGAGAACGCTCTCAGGCATCGAGGCTCGACTGGATGGGTGTCTACGTGTAGTATTGTTCAACAATAGCGAGCTTGCTGGGTGACTAGGCGGAAGAGTCGGATTTAAGCTTTCACTGCATAGCGTGTCTCAAAGCTTGCAGTAGTCATCGCGTTCAAAGATCACTGACTATGAGCGTGTGTGAGACACGCGGCTGGACTGTGTGTTGGGTCAGTGGCAGGGCATGGATCTTCCGTCAGCTGGCGTGGTGAGCAGTAGCATAACCGAGCCAGTGACATGGTGATTCAGCTAGGCGTATACCCGGCCACAAACAAAGTAGTTATGTCCCCGAAAAATAATCAGTTAAGTATGTTAAAGAGAAAGTAAATGGAGGAAAAGTGCTGCAAACTGATAACATTTGCAAACAAAGGGGAGGGGGATCTGCAGCGTACCTTTTGATTCACTCCCTATCTTTTGGCCGGGGTTTTGCCCTTGCGCCTTATTAATTTTGCAACGTCGTCGCCGTAGCATGGCCGTTCTGTGAGGCGACTGCGCATTATTAGCGTGGTGGTCCCAGCTCTATGTTAATCGATAGGGCCGCGCTAGGTGACCGCGTAAACGTGGCAATGTCTCAGTTCTTAGGGATTCGTTTGGTCATTGTATTGGTGTTTGCGGGAACAATAGTTTCTTCTACCTTTCGTTCTAGAGAACGAGCGAGACAGCTTGCTCAGTAGTCCTAATCGTTTTCAGAAATGTCGCTGGGCAGGCTTGATAGGACACTACCACGGCTACGGCGCATTCCATTTTTACATTGATTTGCCATAACGTACTGGAAATAACTGGTCAAATCATAACGAACGGGAAGAACGCCGTTCTGTAAGTCACGACGTTTTTGTGTCGGCCGTCATAAACAAATCATCAGTCTTCATGATTGCCCCTGAGATGAAATGGTATGTTTCTCATTGAAAGGTTGGTTCCATTTTTTCTTCTCTTGAACCAGACCGTGCGTCAGTTAATTTGCGTCAATTTTTGTGTGTCCGTGCGTCAATTTTTTGCGCCTTCATCATTATCAGTTGTTAGCTACTGCGCAAAATCCAGGAGTTTAAAGTCCTCCCTAATCAGCCAGCGATCCTGCATAACGTTCGGCGCGACACCGCCCTGTTGAAGCACGCAACTCACCGCGTGTGGGGTGGCGAAGCAGTGGCTGAACGTCACGAATCAGCCGCTACAGCTCCTCCCTCCCGTGATGCGAATCGGTCGGGGTTTACCACCGGCCTGCCCTGCGCGGCCGGTGCGCCGACTCCCAGCCGCCGCGTGTTCGGCTGGTTGCCGATAGCGGTGCGGGCCTGAGCCACACCGCCGTCAGCAGCACGATAGGCTATCTGTGCTGGCCAGCCGGGCGCTGTTTTTAGCGGGCGGCCTGCCGCGCCGCCTGACGAGACGAGCGGCGACGGCGTTTGTGTACCAGCGGCGTCGGTCCCTGACACCCTATCGGTCTGTTGGTTCCGGCTGCCCGGAGCCCGGTCGCCGGCTGTCTCCTTCCCTGGTCGCTGTATCATTCTCGATAGCAATGCGCCGCGTCCTTTGAAATGCCGCTGCGCCGGTCCCCCGTCTTTGTCTGGGTTTCAGACCGTCGCTGTGACGTCATTGGCCAGCGGCTGGCCCGATTCAACACCTCTTTGTCAATGAAAACAACGCGGACCGCCGAGCGCACCCCTCCCCCTCCTCTGTCCTCGCGTGGGGAAATCGATCCGATCCCTGCGGGGGCCAGCCGGCTGCTTGCCGTGTGTGGCCTGTCGCCACCTATCATCGACCGGCGGCGTCGACCCGACCGCGTAACGTCGCACGTCGACCACGTGACCGACGGCCGCGGCGCCGCGTAGCGCAGGCTCGAGGAAGACCGCAATGGGGAGCAGAAGAAGCGACGGCGCGCAGACCTCGTGCCCGCTGTCTGTTTTTGTTCTCTCGCGGCGAGGATGTCCTGCGGGCGCGTGATGGGCTGCCTTTTTAGGCGCAATGCGGGCGGGAAGGGGGAAGGGGTTGGGGGCTGCTTGGTGTAGCGACGTTCGCATGTGTATCAGCTCTGCGTTGTATTTACCTCCACCAACAATGAAATCCGCTTGTGGTGGACCTGCAGAGCTCAGCGAGCGTGCTCATTGTTGCAGTAGGCACTGCTGGTCCGTAAAAAACACCACGGTAACGGGTGTTTGTGAACCCCTGCATTCGTCGACGTTTCGGACGCGTCCTGCCTCCCGGCCAGTCGCGCGCGGACGGGCGCGATTATTCCGTGGTCAGGGCATCACAAACGGATTACGTGTTGCCCTTGGGATGTGCGGAAGGGTTTAGGTCTGCTACATGCTGATTGGTGTCATGACGGGACACGTTATGGATACGTGTCATCCAGCGCATGAACAGGAAATGGATGACATGGTGAGAAACCCGAAACTGGCGGACTGAACGTGTTCCGACCGGCCTGTGCAGGATCGGGTTCAGCCAGTGAGACATGTTTGCTCTTATTGCGTAGGCTCAGTAGGACTTTTGCATGGGGATGGCGCACGGACGTCCGTGAAAGATTCCGACCCGCCCTTCCCACCTGATCAGACGAGCGTTTTGCCCCTGATACATGAGAAATGGCGCGAAAGGCGCAGTTACATCTTGATGGCGTGCTCCCCTGAGCGCAGGATCCGGAGGCCATGGTGTATTGGACATCGTTTGAGGAAGAAACACATCAAACATACAAAGTCCCTAGGACATTGGAACGCTGCGCAAATGCAACGCAGTAGAATGAAGGGAAACATTGCATGCGAGCCGTGTTGCTCGATGCATTAAGTATAAGTACGAGCCTTGATAGCATTTCATGGACACTAGGTGCGTCATGTAAGGCAAGGCAGGTTTACATTTACCGCCTGGCAGCTTATGACGCTGTCACAGGCTAGCAAGTTTCCCAGAGAGAGTTCCAGGACTCAGGGGGTATCCGGACTAACCCGATGATTCCGGGAAGGGCTGCGGTTGTGGTTTGTCGACATTTTAGGTTACCATGATTTTTACCACCATTTAGAAAGTGTGGCTCATTACAACTGTGGTGCCCTCATACCCTCCGCTCTGAGAGGCGTGACATGTCGAAGCACCACTGACAGGGGATCGGCTCCTTTGTGATGATTTGGGGTTTTAGGGCGCATCGCCTGCTGTAGGTCATGCAGCGACCCGACTCCTTTGTGAAGTAGACCACGGGTGTATATATGAGTTTGAGCCAGCCCTGAGACCGGTGCCGGTCTGTTTATCCCAAGTTGTAACTTTTGTCAGCCAAGGTCTTTTGCCAAATTGTCGAAGGCTCAGGTGGTTTCGAGGGCATTGACAAGTTGTTCAGATTGTGTACGATTACGAAGCTTTATGGCGATGGTGGTGTGCCCTGGAAGGGCACACACATGCACTCACTCGTGTTGCAACACTCGTGCAACGCTCCCTGCAGCATGCCGTAGTGGGCAAACTTCTAGCATTGCCAGCTGCTGTGTTTGAAGCGTTTGGAGGCGATTTTGCGTGTCATCCGTTCCTCCATGATTTGATCCGTGAAGCTAGGGTATCCCTAGCAACGACCGCACCCCACTTGTGCCTCCAGCTGTGGGCCAGCGACACGTTCGGCGTCTCGTGGCACGTGGTGGACCAGTACGTGTCGTCCTTCACGTGGGACGAGAGCGCGGACCCGTCCGTGCTGTACGTGCACCGGCGGCAGCCGGACAGCCCGGGCGTCGTGCGCGCCTCTAGCGGCCTATTCACCAACTACACGGTGGTGGCCGAGGATGTGGAGAAGTTCTCGATCGAGGGTGACTTCAGGTTCGCCGTCAGGAAAGTGGTGAGTCGGTCACGGGGCATGGCTGCTGATGAGCAATCCGTCACGGAGGCGTTGTGATGCCCCGAAAAGCGGGGGCCAAAACTGGTTTTCAAGTCAGTTTCTCCCATGCTTCGCCCTAGCGTTGGCGTTAAACTCACGCAGACTTAGTAATGGGTTCGCCCCCTCCTCGGGCTCTTACGACCGTGTTCGTAGGGTTCGACCTCCTCTTTTTGTCATGTTCACTTTTTCGAACGGTTTGCGAGGGGCACTTCGGGCCTCAAAGACACGCCAAAGCCCTTCTCAGCATTCGGCGGGGGACGAGCTCTCCCCGCAGCCATATCACGAGCGCGCCTCACAGCTCTGTGGTGATCCAGCGCGTGCGTGGCGGGGGTCGGCGGGCGTGGTGTCGGCCAGCGCGGCGGCCGGCCAGCGTGACCGCTGCACCGGTCCAGCCGCTCCCCGCGCCGGCCACCTGCGCTCCGGCCGCGCGCGGCAACCCCACAGCGGCGCTCCCCTTTGGCAGGCGCTGCTCGGGTCGTCCTCGCCGAACGGCACGCTCCAGCTGTGGATCAGCTACAGGGGCGGCGCCTTCCGCAACGCCGTCTTCCCCGCCGGCCTGCACGCGCTCGACTTCGAGGTGGTGGATGTCTCTGACGACCAGGTGAGGTGGTTGGGGTGGGGCCGGCTCGGCGGGGACTGCGGAGCTGGGCCCACAGCGCGGTGTTTGGACACGCCGAATTTTCTCATCCGTCCTTCTAACGGTAGTGTGCTACCTTTGCAGCAGTTGCGTTAGGATAACCGGTTTGTTCTGCCTTGATACGTTTGTTGACGTTGGATTTGCTGATGCATTGTGTGGTGCGATGAATGTGTGCTTAGCGTGCTGAATAAGCTAACAGTGGCGTTGTGAGATGCCGTTACTGAAGCGTTGTCACTAATTGCGCTTGCCTTACATCTCAGTAAGTCAATGAATGGGGGATTCATAAGCATAACGTTGCGTTGTGGTGGCTGAATGAATATTTTCCCCGTGTGCTTGAGGCTTTTGTGTTCAGTAGTGATACCGGGGAAAATTGGGTCCATTACATGTGTTGCGAGCACGGGCGCAATATTTTGGCAGGGGAAGGGGGGAAGACCCTTCTAAGAGGTGCGAAGGTCCATTCCAGGTCAGGATATGCCACGCCACTCGAACTCCTGCCGATTGCGCGTCACCGGCGTAACATCGTCCGATCGTACTGGGATGACGGCCGGAGGTGGTGCCGACCCCGGCTGTCTGGGACAGGGAGGTGGACGAGACGTCTGGGGTCCCGAGTTTTGGGGGCGACTGCCCCGTTGGTCACGGGACCGGGGCGGGCAGGCGGCTTGGGTGATACTCAGGCCGCGGACGTCCAGACGCCGACCTCTGACCCCGGACCTCTGACCTCTGACCCCTGACCCCGCACCTCTGACCCCTGGCCGTGCGTCACCAGGTGATGGTGGCCGTTACGCGCAGCGCCACCTCGTCCAGCCTCTACGTGTCGGCGGTGCCCGACCATCGCGGCGTGCGCTTCTCACTGTCGCTGGAGAACGTGCTCTCGCACAAAACCGGCACCACCTTCGCCCGCTCCTGGCTCAGGTGAGCACACGGCTCCACCGTCGTCTGCCGTTGGCTCAGCAAAGGACACGGGCGCCAATTTCGCTGGCGTAGGGGTGAGGCGGGGACGCCGGTGTCGCCGGCTCCTGGCTCGGGTGAAGACACGGACACCACCGTCGCCGGCAGCGGACCGGTGTCGAGGCACTGACGGCACCTGTGCATGACGTATGATGTGGTGCATGGCCCCACATACGCCGCGACTGTACCTGGCTCGGGCGGGGCCGCGGGCGTGCCGGTGGCCGGTGTGCGGCGTTTCCAACCCCACCCGCGCCCCCGCCCACCGCACTGACCGGTCCGCCACCGCCGTCACAGCATGGTGAACGTCGACTTCGTGGACGTGCACCGGGTGAGCGGGCTGCGCGGCATCTACCTGGCGTCGCAGCTGCCGGCCGGCGCGCCCGGCGACCGGCTGGCGCCGCAGCACGTGCGCACGCTCATCACGTTCGACAAGGGCGGCGAGTGGCGGCCGGTGGCGGCGCCCACCGTCGACAGCACCGGCGTGCCCATCGACTGCCAACAGGTGAGCCGGCCGCCGGCGCTGGGGGCGGGCGGCGGCGGCAGCTGGGGAGAGTCTGGGGAAGCGTGAGCTCTGGTTTGGAGGTGAGGTTAGGGTGTGGTCTGGTTTGGGGTGGCTTGAAGGTCTGGAGTGGCGTGGGCGTGTGGAGTGGTGGAGTGGTCTGGCCGAGGTGGGGGTCTGGGATGATATGAGGGTGTGGGATGATGTAAGGGTCTGCAGCGATAAGACGGGGTGATGCCGGCTTGAGAGACAAGTATAGGCTTCTGTCTGCTGCGGACCAGAGTCTGACGCCGTCCGATGGCCAGCCCGACGTGTCATGGAACCCCTCGTGCCGTCCGATGGGCAGCCCGACGTGTCATGGGACCCCTCGTGCCGTCCGATGGCCAGCCCGACGTGTCATGGGACCCCTCGTGCCGTCCAATGGCCAGCCCGACGTGTCATGGGACCCCTCGTGCCGTCCGATGGCCAGCCCGACGTGTCATGGAACCCCTCGTGCCGTCCGATGGGCAGCCCGACGTGTCATGGGACCCCTCGTGCCGTCCGATGGCCAGCCCGACGTGTCATGGGACCCCTCGTGCCGTCCAATGGCCAGCCCGACGTGTCATGGGACCCCTCGTGCCGTCCGATGGCCAGCCCGACGTGTCATGGAACCCCTCGTGCCGTCCGATGGCCAGCCCGACGTGTCATGGAACCCCTCGTGCCGTCCGATGACCAGCCCGACGTGTCATGGAACCCCTCGTGCCGTCCGATGGGCAGCCCGACGTGTCATGGAACCCCTCGTGCCGTCCGATGGCCAGCCCGACGTGTCATGGAACCCCTCGTGCCGTCCGATGGGCAGCCCGACGTGTCATGGGACCCCTCGTGCCGTCCGATGGGCAGCCCGACGTGTCATGGAACCCCTCGTGCCGTCCGATGGGCAGCTCGACGTGTCATGGGACCCCTCGTGCCGTCCGATGGGCAGCCCGATGTGTCATGGGACCCCTCGTGCCGTCCGATGGCCAGCCCGACGTGTCATGGGACCACTCGTGCCGTCCGATGGCCAGCCCGACGTGTCATGTCACCACTCGTGCCGTCCGATGGCCAGCCCGACGTGTCATGGAACCCCTCGTGCCGTCCGATGGCCAGCCCGACGTGTCATGGAACCCCTCGTGCCGTCCGATTACGCCCCACGCGTTCAGCGAGCGGGCGCCAGACCGGATGGCAGCCCCCAGCGCGAGCCTGCCATCCCTTGTCCTCGAACGTGAAGGTGGACTCACCGGCCGGCTGTGCAGCCTGCCTGTCGGAGCCGGTCGCCGTCGGCTGGCGCTGACACCTCGCCCGCCGCGTGCCCGCAGGTGGACAACTGCTCGCTGCACATCTCGCAGGAGATGACCAGCCTGTACCCGGGCACCAAGTACGTGCCGGTGCTGTCCTCGCCGTCGGCCGTCGGTCTCATCATGGCCACCGGCGTGATCGGCACCTCGCTCAAGGGCCACCCGGCCGTGGTGCTCAGCCGCGACGCCGGCGTCACCTGGCGCCAGGTGAGTCGGCTCGCCACGCGGCACCACGCGGCTCGGAGTAGTGTGGTGACGCCGGCGCGCGGCCTTCACGCGCTACAGCAGGTGTGGTGTGTTGCGTGGGTCACGTAGCGCAGCGGTCGCAAAACGCTGCGACGGAAACGGACTCGCTAGACAGGGAGGCGGTATTTGCAGGCTTCGTTTTACTGTCTCGAGGTTTCGAGGTCGAGGAGGAAGTGATCGGGAAGGTGGGCGCCGCGCGATGTTGCAGCTGCTCCGCACCGTCGTATTCTACCTCGCGAGCTCCAGTGCGGCTGTTCGGAAGGTTTGTGTAGCCAACGCCATCAGCCTGCCCGCAGGCTGTGCAGCGATACAGCGCCGCCGGCCGGCCCTGCGTGCCCCCACATCACCATACGACCGTGGCCGGCAGGTGCTACGCGGCCAGTACCTGTACGCGTTCGCCGACCATGGCGGCCTGATCGTGGCGGTGGCGCGCTACAGCGGCGGCGGCACGCGCGAGCTGCTCTACTCGCTGGACGAGGGCATGACCTGGGGCCGGCACATCTTCTTCCCGGAGGCGGTGCGCGTGCACAGCCTGCTGACGGAGCCCGGCGAGGCCAGCACCGTGTTCCTGGTGTTCTGCGCCCGGCTCGACAGGCACGGCTGGATCTCGGTGCGCGTCGACCTCGCCTCGCAGTTCGGTGAGTGGCGGGTGGAGCTGAACGGCGCGCCGCCGAGCGCCGCGGCTCCGGAGCTCCGGGGAGCTGAGGGGCTGCCGGGACGCGGCCAGCAGGGACAGCAGCGCCTGTCTCACCGTGCGGCGGCTGGTGTCCACGGCTCGGGCTGCCTATCGTCCGACCGCGGCCAGTTATTCGGTCCGCGTGCGTTGCCTAAGCTTCGTCTGCTTCGGCACTCATGATTGCAAGGTCCAGAACTCCATGCTGCAGAACCGTTGATGAGCATATACCGTGCGCCGGCATTCAACTTCTTGCGGTTTAAGCTTTGCAATTCATGGGAGGCTGCGTGCGGCAGTGCTCCGGTCCGGGGGGATCAGTTGTCAGCTGCGTGCCGTGTGTCCTGACTCCGGCTCGCGCCGCCCTCACCCGCTCCTGTCGACCGGGCCGGCCGCTAACTCCCTTCCCGGCTCTCCCCCGACAGAGCACAACTGCACCGAGGACGACTACAAGCTGTGGACGCCGCGCTCGCGCGCCTCTGGTCGGTCGTGTCTGCTGGGGCGGCGCGAGACGTACCGGCGCCGCCAGCCGCACGCCCACTGCTACAACGGCCGCCGGGCGGCGCCGGCACTCGTCTCCGTCGAGAACTGCGACTGCCTGCGCGAGGACTACGAGTGGTGAGGGCCGGCGAGCGGCGAGCGGCGGCGCAGGACGCTGGGTTACGGCCCGGCCGGTAGAGTTGCCGGGGCGGCGACGCAGGACGCTGGGTTACGGCCCGGCCGGTAGAGGTGCCAGGAGGCGGCGGCGGGGCTTTATGTGGCGTGACGTTGACGCCTCGCCTCGGTTTGTTGGATCAAGCAGCGGTCACCAGTCACCACTGGCTTTCGTCATCGAGATATGCGACGTCAGCTGGCCAGACATTATCTGAAATCAGCTCTCCGGCCCATGTATCCGGTATGCTTTTGAGTTACAGCTGCACCTCGTGCACGTTTTCTGCTTCTCACTGGGCTCATCCTGGGAAATTCAAGTGAACCCTGTGTGCGCACACCGTGGACCACACCACCCGGATGGACCATATCGCCATCTGGCCTCAGCTGCAGCGCAGGCCGCAGAAGTATTCATCGCTGCCATGTGGCCGGACAATGGCACCGCGCTGCCACGTGCCGCCTGGCGCGGTATCTGCGCCGCAGCCTGAGAGAGCCAGGGCCAAGGCGTGACCGCCACCTGGCCTCCCACACTGGCCCTCACCGCCGCATCCCGGCAGCCGCGACCGCCACCCCGCCTCATACCCCCTCACCGTCGCACCCCGGCAGCGACTTCGGCTTCCGGGAGGAGCGACGCTCGTTCCACTGCGCACGGGACCCGGCCGTGGCGCGGCTGCCGAACTCGTACGACCCGACGCGCTGCCCGGAGGGCGGCTACTACAACCAGTCTCGCGGCTACGCGCGCGTGCCGGGCGACACGTGCCAGCCGGGCACGGCCGCCGCCGTGCTGTTTGAGCCCGACCGGCGCCCCTGCCCGCTCAAGTGAGTGACTGCGGCGCGCCGGCCGCCGCCGTGCTGTTTGAGCCCCCGACCGGCGCCCCTGCCCGCTCAAGTGAGTGACCGCGGCGCGCCGGTCGCCGCCGTGCTGTTTGAGCCCGACCGGGGCCCCTGCCCGCTCAAGCGAGTGACTGCCGCGCGCCGGCCGCCGCCGTGCTGTTTGAGCCCGACCGGCGCCCCTGCCCGCTCAGGTGAGTGACCGCGGCGCGCCGGCCGCCGCCGTGCTGTTTGAGCCCGATCGGCGCCCCTGCCCTCTCAGGTGAGTGACTGCGGCGCGCCGGCCGCCGCCGTGCTGTTAGCGCCCGACCGGCGCCCCTGCCCGCTCAGGTGAGTGACCGCGGCGCGCCGGCCGCCGCGGCGCAGACGAACCGCACCACCGCACGCTGGTGGGGCACAGGGCGCTGGGTGGCAGCTGTGGGCCAGTCGGCTGACAGAGCGATGTCAAAATAGCCGGATGGTGGTTTGTTGGCGGAAGAGTCGTTCGCCATGCTGTTGCTCCGTACTGGGTTCAGGGGTACCGGTAGTGTGGTGGTCAATGCATCTGTGTTAACCAATGCGCGTCTGGGAAACCAGAGGTACGGGGTTCGATTCCCCGCGGTGCCCACCCTTCCTGCCAGGGTGAGAGGAAGGCGACGCCATATAGCCTTAGCAGCTGAGTGCTTCGTAAAGGCGTAACGACATGACATGACGTACTGGGCGTCATGTCAAACGCTCTGTGAGCGCCGTGTCTGCTTGAACGGCGATGGCGTGTTTCCCGGAGAACCAGCACACCTGCGACACCTGCGCTCTGGCCCCACGCCACAGCCCCGCCTGCTGCAGTCGCGGGCTGTCCGACGTGGTCACCGACGCACCGCACCGTTCCACGGCCGTGGCTGCCCTCCCCGCTCACCAGACCCTCCGCTGGTGGCATCCCCCACAGCTCTCCTGGGCCCCGCCCTCCGACGCCGTCGCCACCCTCCGGTCTCGGCTCTGTCCTCTGACGCCGTCGCCAGCCCCCCCCCCTGTCTCGGCCCTCTGCCCCCTGACGCTGTCGCCACCCCCCCCCCCCCCCCTGTCTCGGCCCTCTGCCCTCTGACGCCGTCGCCAGCCCCCCCCCCCCCCGGTCTCGGCCCTCTGCCCTCTGACGCCGTCACCGCCCCCCGGTCTCGGCCCTGCCCTTTAACGCCATCGCCCCCCCCCTCCGTCTCGGCCCTCTGCCCTCTGACGCCGTCGCCAACCTCCCCCCCCTGTCTCGACCCTCTGCCCTCTGACGCCGTCGCCAACCTCCCCCCCCCTGTCTCGACCCTCTGCCCTCTGACGCCGTCGCCACCCCCCCCCCCCTTGTCTCGGCCCTCTGCCCTCTGACGCCGTCGCCAACCCCCCCCCCCCTGTCCCGACCCTCTGCCCTCTGACGCCATCGCCCCCCCCCCCCCCTGTCTCGACCCTCTGCCCTCTGACGCCGTCGCCAACCCCCCCCCCTGTCTCGGCCCTCTGCCCTCTGACGCCGTCGCCAACCCCCTCCCTCCCCCTGTCTCGGCCCTCTGCCCTCTGACGCCGTCGCCAACCCTCCCCCTGTCTCGGCCCTCTGCCCTCTGACGCCGTCGCCAACCCCCTCCCTCCCCCTGTCTCGACCCTGCCCTCTGACGCCGTCGCCACCCCCCCCCCCCCCCTGTCTCGGCCCTCTGCCCTCTGACGCCGTCGCCAACCGCCTCCCTCCCCCTGTCTCGGCCCTCTGCCCTCTGACGCCGTCGCCAACCCTCCCCCTGTCTCGGCCCTCTGCCCTCTGACGCCGTCGCCGTTCCCCGGCAGCGAGAGCACCGACTTCCTCCTCATGGCCAAGCGTGACGCCATCCTGCGTCTGGCCGTCTCGGACGTGGAGAGCGGCGTGGCGCCGCTGCCGCTGCCGCTGAGCGGCGTGGCCAGCGTGGTGGCGCTCGAGTTCGACGTGCGCAACAACTGCCTGTACTGGTCCGACACCGCGCTCAAGGCCGTCTTGGTGAGCCGGAGAGGGGCCGCCGCCGGCCGCGTGACGGGCTGCTGGATGCTGTTGCGCCGCGGGGTCCGGCGCTGCAGGACCCGCGGTGGCACGCGCCGTCCGGTCTTGTAGGCGAAACAAACTGTGTCATTACCAGGGTGGTGTCCCGCTGAACTGCAGTTCACACGCCGTCTCTTGCGCTGTTGTGTGCTCCGATGCGCGCTGCGTAGGTCTGTCCCGTGACGGCGAGCTGGCTGCTGTCTGGCGGGCAACCGGGCGAAACGTTGCCCCCTTGGTCCGTCCGCCGGTGTCCCATCACAGTTGTCCCGCCGTCACTGCCGCTGCGCTGCTGACCGTCCGCCGGTGTCCCATCATAGTTGTCCCGCCGTCACTGCCGCTGCGCCGCTGACCGTCCGCCGGTGTCCCATCACAGTTGTCCCGCCGTCACTGCCGCTGCGCCGCTGACCGTCCACCGGTGTCCCATCATAGTTGTCCCGCCGTCACTGCCGCTGCGCCGCTGACCGTCCGCCGGTGTCCCATCATAGTTGTCCCGCCGTCCCTGCCGCCGCGCCGCTGACCGTCCGCCGGTGTCCCATCACAGTTGTCCCGCCGTCACTGCCGCCGCGCCGCTGACCGTCCGCCGGTGTCCCATCACAGTTGTCCCGCCGTCACTGCCGCCGCGCCGCTGACCGTCCGCCGGTGTCCCATCACAGTTGTCCCGCCGTCACTGCCGCTGCGCCGCTGACCGTCCGCCGGTGTCCCATCATAGTTGTCCCGCCGTCCCTGCCGCCGCGCCGCTGACCGTCCGCCGGTGTCCCATCACAGTTGTCCCGCCGTCACTGCCGCTGCGCCGCTGACCGTCCGCCGGTGTCCCATCATAGTTGTCCCGCCGTCACTGCCGCTGCGCCGCTGACCGTCCGCCGGTGTCCCATCACAGTTGTTCCGCCGTCACTGCCGCTGCGCCGCTGACCGTCCGTCGGTGGCCCACAGCGCCAGTGCTTGAACGGCGCTGGCCGCGAAGTGCTGCTGAACCGGAACGTGACGACGGTGGAGGCGCTGGCGCTAGACTGGACCACCGGCAACCTGTACCTGACCGAGTCGGTGTCGGCCACCATCCAGCTAGTGCGGCCGAGTGCCGGCCACGCCACCCACCTGCGAGCCACGCTGCTGGACAGTGCGGAGCTGGACAACCCCCGCGGCCTGGCGCTCCACCCCAGCAAAGGGTCAGTAGGCGTGACGCGCACGGGAGGTGGCTGGCTGCCACTGCCGCTGCCGCCGCCGCTGCCGCTGCGGCGGGCCCAGCGCTCGGTAGGTGACGGGTGCCGCTGAACATGCTCGGACACGTGGCGCTGTGTATTCGGCGGGTGAGGTGCTGTACCACCGGCGCGGTCAACGGAGCGCCGGCCACGGGAGGAGTATAGCGCGGTCAATGGAGCTCCGGCCACGGGAGGAGTATAGGGCGGTCAACGGAGCGCCGGCCACGGGAGGAGTATAGCGCGGTCAATGGAGCTCCGGCCACGGGAGGAGTGCAGAAGTCAGCGCTGCACTTCGCCTCCTTGCTCTAAAACCATGCGATGGGGCGTATGTAAGCTTTCAAACCACCCACCGGAAGCCGCTTTTGCATTCACAATTTGCATTTCCCTGTTCTTTACCCGGACATGAGCCTGACTGCCATTCCCATGTCGGCTAGGTACATGTTCTGGACGGACTGGTCTCAGACGACCCCCGGCATCTACCGCGCCTTCATGGACGGCACGAAGCACACCCAGATCGCCGGCCGGGGCAAGGTGATGTGGCCCAACGGCGTCAGCATCGACTACCAGGCGGACCGCATCTTCTGGGTGGATGCCAACCTCGACTACCTGGCGTCGTCCGACCTAGACGGCGGCCACTTCCAGATACTGCTGCAGAACTCTGTGAGAGACGCTGGGTCGGCGGGACGGCGCGGCGGCGGCGGCGGCTCTCCGTTTGTCTGGCCTTAGGACAACCCGCGAAGTCGCAGTGGTAGTCTCGAACGCGGTTCTGGCTCCCCTCCCCGTTCACCGACGTGGGACAAAGTGAGGCCCTTCAACGTTAAATGGCACGCAGCGGAGTGTAGGCGCTGCAGAGCTGTACACGAGTACCTCTTGTTCGCCTGTCAGAACGCGATGACGGCCATACCTGTCCAACACTGTCGCCGTCCGGGACGTCACCTGGGAGCAGCACACACTCCTGCTGGAGTGGCGTGATGGTGTGTACCCGAGGCACGCGGCCGGGTCGGAGTGGGCACGCCGTACCCGCGCTACGCCGCCCCGCTCTGACCTGCCGCCCCGCTCTGACCCACCGCATCGCCGCCGCCTGACCCGCCGCCGTACCTGTCTCCAGGAGAACAGCCGACACCCGTTCGCCATCTCCGTGTACAAGGATTTGATGTTCTGGAACGACTGGCAGAGCGAAGTGGTGCTCATGACCGACAAGCGCTCGCCGACCCACGTCGTCACCGTGCTCGACAAGGTGCCCAACGTCGTCGACGTCAAGGTTTGTGCACGTCCCCTCTTTTGTCTGCATGTGAAAATCTTGTCATTTCGTTCCGTTTCGTTTATGTCGTTTGCGCGGCGGTTTTCCCGTTTCTATCTCAATGCTGATTTATATTCTTGCTTTAGGTCCTTTTTCGGTCATCCACTTTTCCATACTTCCCCCCTTTTCCCCACGCCCGTTTGTTGACATGCTTTCTTCACCCCGCTCCGATATTCCGGCCTATTCATGTCAATCACAGCATTACCCATCGGCCACGCTGTTGTCCTGCCGACCATCGGCGCTACATGTGGGGGCGCCGTGGGCTTCAGTGAGGGCGCCGCATCTGACGCCTGGCTGTTTGTTCCCCTGCCAACCATCGGCGCTTCCTGTGGGGGCGCCGTGGGCTTCAGTGAGGGCGCCGCATCTGACGCCTGGCTGTTTGTTCCCCTGCCAACCATCGGCGCTTCCTGTGGGGGCGCCGTGGGCTTCAGTGAGGGCGCCGCCTCTGACGCCTGGCTGTTTGTTCTCCTGCCGACCATCGGCGCTTCCTGCGGGGGCGCCGTGGGGTTCAGTGAGGGCGCCGCCTCTGACGCCTGGCTGTTTGTTCCCCTGCCGACCATCGGCGCTTCCTGTGGGGGCGCCGTGGGGTTCAGTGAGGGCGCCGCCTCTGACGCCTGGCTGTTTGTTCCCCTGCCGACCATCGGCGCTTCCTGTGGGGGCGCCGCGGGGTTCAGTGAGGGCGCCGCCTCTGACGCCTGGCTGTTTGTTCCCCTGCCGACCATCGGCGCTTCCTGTGGGGGCGCCGTGGGGTTCAGTGAGGGCGCCGCCTCTGACGCCTGGCTGTTTGTTCCCCTGCCGACCATCGGCGCTTCCTGTGGGGGCGCCGTGGGGTTCAGTGAGGGCGCCGCCCCTGACGCCGGGCTGTTTGTTCCCCTGCCGACCATCGGCGCTTCCTGTGGGGGGCGCCGTGGGGTTCAGTGAGGGCGCCGCCCCTGACGCCGGGCTGTTTGTTCCCCTGCCGACCATCGGCGCTTCCTGTGGGGGGCGCCGTGGGGTTCAGTGAGGGCGCCGCCTCTGACGCCGGGCTGTGCGGCGGTGGCCAGGTGTTCGGCCAGCAGTCGCAGCGGGGCGTCAGCGGCTGCACCAACAGCACCGCCTGCGCCTGGCTCTGCACCCCACGGCCCGACGGCAAGCACCGGTGCCTGTGCCCGGACGGCCTGCGCCTGCAGAACGACAAGTGCGTGTGCTTCAACGGCAATACGCCCTTCGCCAACGGCACCTGCCCGTCAGGTGAGTGACCCTGTGGCCGAATGGTGACAGGTTTCGGGTGTCAAAGGTTCTCGGTGTCTTCATCGACGTGGGCGGATGTTAACGTCATATGCTTGGTGCTAGATTGCTCGCCACGGTCGTGGTTGTCGCAGCGCGGATATTGGTGAGAAGTGATTGGGACCACTGCCGCGTGCAGGTATCGAGTGTCCGGCGGCACACGGGCATGGTTGTCGCGGCGCGGATATTGGTGAGAAGTGATTGGGACCACTGCCGCGTGCAGGTATCGAGTGTCCGGCGGCACACGGGCATGGTTGTCGCGGCGCGGATATTGGTGAGAAGTGATTGGGACCACTGCCGCGTGCAGGTATCGAGTGTCCGGCGGCACACGGGCACTGCCCGGACCAGAGGACCGTGAGGTGTGTGTGGGGGCCGAGCGCGGCCGCCGCTCCGACGGTGTGCTCGGCGCCGCGTCATCGGCGCGCCGGGGCGACGACAGCACGGGCCCACCGACAGACGAAGCTCTTTTGCAGTGAACGAGCAGTGCGCGGCCGAGTACTTCACGTGCGCCAATAAGCAGCTCTGTATCAGGCGAGACTGGCTGTGCGACGGCGACAACGACTGCGGCGACAACTCGGACGAGCGCGACTGCCAGCAGGTGACCGGACGCCGCCGTCGCCTCCCGCCTGCAGAGCGATGGCGGGCGGGCGGCGTCCCTTGCGAAGCTGTGGTCGCGCGGCTGGGACCGTCTGCCGTTTGGACTGTAAGGTCGGGGAAGGGGCTAGTCGGAGGACCGCCAGTGGCCAGTGTTTGTACTGAAGCTTGGGGTCAGAGTGTCTTCATTAGTCTGTGCAGTCCCGAGGTTAGATGTTCCCTCTGGTACCAAAACGCTATTCCTTTGTCTAGCGGGTCGAGCCGTCCATCACAAGGTCCGTGTGCAGTTGCGAGGCTTCACGTCTCGCCCAAGTCAGGGGTGGAATGGTGGCGCGCCGCGTGACGAGCGCTGGCGGCGGTGTGACGCGGGCGCGGCTCGGCGACTGACGCCCGCCCCGCCCCGCCGCAGGCCAGCTGCGGCAGCCTACAGTTCCGCTGCGACAACGGCCGCTGCATCACGGCCGCCTGGCACTGCGACTTCGAGGACGACTGCCACGATGGCAGCGACGAGCGCGGCTGCGGTGAGCGACCGCCCGGCGGACGCGCCGGTGCGGCGCCAGACTCGGCTGGCGCGCTGCCCGGACCGCGAGAGGGCCGGACACGCACGTGTGTCTGGCAGTGTGCACTGTTAAACTTGTGTGACTTCCCCATGCCGTGTCGTGCGGGGATGGCGGTACGGTGCGCCTTCACCGCAAAACGCGGGCGTTGAAGCGGGAGTGCACAATCGATGTTAGCGTGCGAGCCATCTACTAGTCCAGTTACTGAGTCCTGACTGGTAAGGTTTTCCTGATCTAGTATTTCTCTTAGTGTTACACTGACGGCGTCTGCGGTCGCCTGACGGCCGTCGTCATTGGAGAAAGTCGGGCGCCGGAGCCCCTGGCGGCGTGTGCGGTCGGCGCCGAGCCTGACCGGGCCGCCCCGCCCACAGTGTACCCCAACTGCACGAGCACCGAGTTCCAGTGCGCCAGCGGCCGCTGTATCCGCAGCCAGTACCGCTGCGACGGCGACGACGACTGCAGAGACAAGTCGGACGAGCTGGACTGCCCGACGCCGGCGCCGCCGCCCTGCCCACGTGAGTCGGCGGCCCGCGCCGACGCGCTGCCGCCTCTGGCACCTCTGGTGTCACGGGCAATGGCGAGTGGTGTGCCCAGCTGCGGTCGGTGCGTGTGTGTCGTCGGCATTGGGACTGGCGAAGGCCTGGCGCGGACGGCACACCGTTCCGTCAGCGCGGGTGGCGCAGTCGGTGGCGTCGGAGTGGGACGCGGCCGGACGGGCGTCTCGTCGCACGCGCGTGGGTTCGGCGGTCGGCGGGCCTTTGCTGCGCGTTGGACGGATTGTTTATCTCGCGACGCCAACCTGAGTGGAGGGCCCCGACGAAGACCCGACCCTGGCATTCCCGTGCGCGGACAGTGGTCCCATCATTGCCAGTGCTGTAGAGTGTGAGTCGTCAGACATTACGAGAAGAACCGCACCGTCACGCTGGCGCCGCGCGGACAGGACCAGCGGCCTGCTCCGCCGTCGGCGGCGCGCAGCCCTGACCGCCCCACGCCGTCCGCTCCCGCCGGCAGCGCCGTCGTTCCAGTGCGTCAACAGCAGCCAGTGCCTGCCGATCTCGTGGGTGTGTGATGGCTCTGCCGACTGCCCGGGCGGCGACGACGAGGACGCGGCCCGCTGCGCCGACTACAGCTGTCCCCGCTGGCAGTTCCAGTGCGCCAACAAGCGGTACGACCGCCGCAGCGGCGCGGATCGGGGTGCAGTGCGCGGCGCCAGGGCGCCGACTGAGCTGCTGTCAGAGCCTGCAGAGGCGGGCGGGGTACAGTGTGGGTCTGCGGTGTCCTCATCGGTGTCCTCGGCTCCCTACGAACTTCGGCCGCGTGTCCGTCTGTCCGTTATAGCATGGCGTGCGAACGCCCTGATTTTTGGACCCGTTGAGTGACGTGAAGTGATGACGCCGGGCCGGAGGAAGGCTACGCGGTCTGGGCGGGATCAGCCCTCTGAAAGCACCGGCAGCGCGGCCTCACCTGCCCCAAACTGTTGTCCGTGTCTTGGCCGAGTTTGCTGTGTAGTGGTCGAGGCGGCCCGCTCGGCAGGCGCGTCACCGGGCCGTGGCGTGTTCCAGCTGTATTCAGATGAAGTGGCGCTGCGACTCGCAGAACGACTGCGGAGACGGCTCCGACGAGCTGAACTGCACGGCCACCACCACGGCTGCGCCCACCACGGAGCCGGCGCCCACCTTCCCCATGGTACGGGTGCCATCGCCGGCCCGGATGCCCGATCCCAGCGGTATGTGCTCCCCACATGTGTCAGCTGCTGGCAGTTTTCCGGCGAGGCTTACTCCCGTGGAAGGAACGGCTTCGCAGTTCCATCACGGTACGCGTTCGCCCACTGAGCTATGCCCCCCCCCCCCTCCCCCACCTCGTCTTCACGAGAACTTCCTCCGCTGCCTTGCCTGTGCACCAGTGGGCGATGCTGCTCTCTGCCGCCCCGCACCAGACCCGTGCGGGGGGCGCGTGCTCGGCCGTCACACTGCCCCTCCACCGAGCGGCTTCCGCCTGCTGACGGCCGCCGGGGTCGCCGCCAGGGTGACTGCGGCACCAGCGGCCACCTGCTGCGCTGCCGCAACGGCCGCTGCGTGCCGCTCTGGTGGAAGTGCGACGGCGCCGACGACTGCGGCGACAACAGCGACGAGGCCGGCTGCGGTGGCGACGCCACGGCCGCGCCGCCGGCCGCCGGCAGCTCCCGGCCGCCTCCCTCGGCCACCTGCGGGGCCAGTCACTTCCGCTGCGATAACGGTGGGTCTCGGCTGGGAGACGCCTCCCGACTGCCGCCGCGGCCGGGCGTGGCCGGCGGCCGATCTGCGTGACGCATTGCTCTGGAAAGACCGGCCCGCCAACTGTCGGGTGGTCGGTAGGAGACGTTGGAAAGCCGGTACGGAAAGCCAGCAGATGTGTGTAGGGGGGGGGGGGGGACGGGGGAGCAACGAAAGCGAACTTTTGCGGCGAATGTGCTCGGTACTGGAAAGAAAACAACCATCTGAAATCGGCGTCTGTGCTCGTCATGGGCTTGGTGCGGGACGGTCACCGTATGACGTCTGACCGCCGACGTGGACGCCTGCGGTCGCCGTGCGTGCCGCGTCCGGTGCGGTGACGAGCCTGGCGCCGCCGCCCGCCGCCGGCCGCCCTCTCGACCGTTCGCGTCGCCCGTCAGGCCGCTGCATCTGGGAGGCGTTCGTGTGCGACGGCGACCGCGACTGTCCGGGCGGCGAGGACGAGGCGGAGTGCGCCGGCGGCACGGGCGGCTGCGCGGCCGGCCAGTACCGCTGCCTGCTGTCCGGCGAGTGCATCGGACGCCGCCTGCTCTGCAATGGCCGCCAGGACTGCGCCGACAACTCGGACGAGGAGGCCTGCGCGCCGGGTGAGCGGGCCGACCGGCGCGACGGCGGACGGAGCCGGCCGCGCCGCCCGCCGCCGGACGCAGCGGTCTGGCGAGGCGGCGCCACTCCTCGGTTGTGCGTGTGCGTGCGCGTTTGCGATGGGCCGCGGAGGGTTAAAGGCAGGCTGGTTTCTCGTTGATTTTACGTGTTCTGAGGAGCCGTTCAACTGTCATTCAACTGACGGAAGAAAGTGGTTGCGGACATCTGCCATGCGTTTGTGGAAATCCCTCAGCCTTCCCACAAAATTGTCATCTTTAAATCATGACCTCTCGCTTGCTATCTGGCATGTACATCAACCTCGCCTGGAATGACAAATGCGGTGCATCACGCCGCGCGTCGCAGGGCACTGGCAATGCACAGTAGGGCGGGTGTCATGTCCTTCCTTGCTTTGTGTCGTGCCCTGATGGTCGAGCGGAGGATCTAGCCGGGCTCACCTGCTGTGCTTGTGGGGCAGGCCGGCGGGAGTGCGGCCGTGGTCACTGCAGCCGTTGTCGGCGCCGCGCGTGCCGGCCGCGGCGTGCCGTCCGGGCATCCTGTCGGGGCAGGGCGGCCCGGCTGCGCGGTGGCCGTGATGCGGCGCCCGAGACGCGTCTGACCTCTCCGCCCCCTCCCCGCCCTCACAGAAGGCACCACCGTGCAGCCGTTCACCTGCCCGTCCGGCTTCTTCCGGTGCGACTTCCACACCTGCCTGCCCTACTTCAAGTTCTGCGACGGCCACCGGGACTGCTCGGACGGCTACGACGAGTCCAGCTGCCGCGACGATAGCACCGTGTTCCAGGTGCGCCGGCCGGCCGGCTCGGCCAGGGTCGGCGGTGGGTGGCGGAGCCGAGTGCGCCGGTGTTTCGAGGCAGCGCTGGCCCAGCGGAGGTGGCCAATGCTCTGGTGGCCGCGTCGAGTCAGCTGGGCGTTTGTTGGCCGCCACCTGTCCGTCGGGCGGTGTGTCGGTGCTGACCTGGAGCCTTTGCCTCGGCGCTTCCCGCAGGTGGTGAGCTACGCCGCCGACACCAAGACGCTGACGCCGCATGCGGTGACGGTGGGCTGGAAGACGAACGCTCGCGGCCCGGCCATGCTCGCCAAGCTCAGGTCAGTGGGCTGCGCCCTTCGCACCCCTCGTGCAAAACGTCACGCATGGGTGATGAACGTGGTAAATTGGGCGGAAAATTGTAAAACAGCGCGAACTGACATTGTGACAGATTTTTTGGCAGAATTGTCGAATTCTTTCGCAGGCAAATCCGAATTATCATATGCCTAAGACATTCAGATTGTGTCCAGCGTTGTTACGGAGCTCCAGCGTATAGCTTTTGTTTTGTCTCCCGCGTGTTGGAAATGCGTGATGCCATACTTACTGGCGTGTTGCGGAGCATAATGCGATGCAATGCTCACTCGTGACAATAAACTTTGCTCAAAGCGTCGAACTTCGACAACGTGAAATGTTTGCTCGATAACTTTATTTAACGAATACGTCCGGGCATATTTAAGATCGATCACTGTCAGCATAAGAACTCTGAATCGTCTAATTGTCCCTAGTGTTACGCTACCTGTCCTGTCTTAATGTAGGACGTTCGCACCGACGCCAGGTACTTGCCATCGATCTGCGCCGTCTACCAGCCGGGGCCGTGCCACTGGATCAACATGACCTGGATCGCCGACACCGAGTACCGCTTCGACCGGCTGGAGCCGTTCACGTGGTACAACGTGACCGTGTTCGTGCGCGCCGAGGGACGCGACGCCGCCTTCCCCGCCAGCCAGTACATCAGCGTCCAGACCCTCAGCGCCCGTACGTGTCCGACGACGTGGCCGTGGCGGCGCGGGGTGCGACGGCGCTGTCTGGGGTGCGGCGCCGGGGCGCTGCGCCGCGCGGGGCGGCCGGACGGCGCTCGTGTGCCCGCCGTCCGAGCCCGTGCTCCCGTGTCGCCGCCGGCGGTGGGCGCTGCGCCTCGATGAGTGTCGGTCGGACACCTGTCTTCGTGAGAGCTCTGTGCGCGTGCGTGGCCTGGGCGTCCGGCCGGTCACCGGTGAATACTCGCTGTTGCGTGGCCGCCGGCTCCTCTGTGCGCCTGCGCGGCCTGGGCGTCCGGCCGGTCGCCGGCGAATACTCGCTGTTGCGCGACCGTCCGCCGATCGTGACTTGACCTGACCTGACCTTCCTCTTCCCGCCCCGCCTGCAGGGCCGACGCCACCCTGGCAGATGACCGCCACACAGCTGAACCACAACTCTGTTCGCGTGTCGTGGCGGCCGCCCAAGCACATGAACGGCCGCCTGTTGAACTACCGGCTCTCGATGGTGCCGCCTCAGCCGGCCCACGTGTTTCACACACGGCACACCAACTTCACCGTGGTCGAGGACTTCCTGCCCGGCGCGAACTACACGTTCTTCGTGAGTGGGCGACAGCCTAGACGCACGCGGGCCTGGCAGCGCGCGCTGGGCCCACGTGGCGCTTTTCGTTGCTGCTCGCGACCGCAGCGTTCAGTGCGCTGGTGGTGTGCTGATTGTCGGTAGGTGGCGCTGGGGTTTCAGGTGGGTGCTACGACCAGCAGCCCGTGGCAGGGTGTTTTGGCGGCTGTTACGCGGCTGTGAACGTGTGTACACACTTGTGGACTCAGACTCGGTTTGTGTGGTCCGACATCAGTTTCATCTTTGGCATGTGCGCCCCCGCCTTGTTTGGTCCTCTGCCGAGAGCAGCGTTCTGTAAGTGGGACATCAGCGACAAAAACAACAACGCTGTTTTCCTGCACCCCTGCCCTTGGCGGGCGGCAGCCCCCCCCCCCCCGCGTGACATTCCCCCTCCTGCGGCGATCCGCCGGACACGCCGGTCGCTCCCGCCGACAGGTCCAGGCGGAGAACGCCGAGTTCCTGAGCGAGAGCTCGCACCCGGCGTCGCTCGTGTTCGACGGCGACGCGGTGATCGGTGCCGTGACCGGCGTCGCCGTGGAGGAGCGCACGCCGCGCTCGCTGACGCTCAGCTGGGACGCGCTGCCGGCGGCTGACGGCTTCCTGGTGCGCTACACGCCTACGGAGAACCAGCTGGTGCCCGCCGACGACCTCCGCACCAAGAATAACCGTGTCGTGCGTGAGTATGCGGCGGGGCCGCCCGGCCGCCGGCGCTGCGGGCCTCGGCCCGTGGGGCCGCCGCACAGTGGCGCACGGTCGCACAGTGGCGTGGTTTGCTGCGGCTGGGTGTGGGGGCAATGGACGGCGCTGGGTGATGCTGCACTTGAACTTTTGCCCCTGTTGCTGGCGATGCTGCGTACGGACTGGTGTGAGGAGTTTCGTGAAGATTGCAGGACGATGTCATTTTCTAGGGACTGCTTGTGTTTTCGTGGATGAGTGGGCACACACAGGGCCCCGTTTTCGGCCGTCAATCACCGTGACCCAACCAACAGTGCCTGGGTGTGCGCACGCTGGCCCCTGGCTGAGCGCGGCTCGGTCTTGCCGGCAGTGTCTGGGCTCCTATCTCCGGGCACAGCGTACGAGTTGACGGTGCAGGGCTACAAGGGCCGCTTCACGGGGCCGGCGCAAGCCATCAGCAGCGGCACCACCGGCCAGCCAATCCCGGCAGGTCACGAATCTCACGGCGACGCTGTCGCCCACAGCGGCAATGCTCGTCAACCGTCAGCTGGCGGCCGCCGCCGTCGAGCGGCGGCACCGTCGACGCGCTGGAGTAACGGCGTGTTTCTGGGGCACTTCGAATGGAAAGGAGCTGTACATCGTGCGGTGTGGCGACAGAGGGTGAACGCTTACGTCAGTACAGGTGCGGATTTGTGAGCAGGAGGAGGAGGGGGAGAGGAGGGGGCGGGGGTGACAGCCGGCACAGCCAGGCTGCTGTCCTGCCGTCTGTCGGCCGGTGGTCGCTGTTTGGTCTTAAGGCCCGTGGTGTCGAGAGCAATGTGGTTGATCCATTAGTGTGACCTGGGAGTTGACAGAGTAATGCGTGGCTTTGTACTTCGGAACGGTTGAAGATTCCATTACGGACCTGAAGCCTGTGAACCGCTCCTTGCTGCTGCCTTTACCTGCACCTCTTTGCTTTCAGATGACTAACGGGCGGCAACCCTTCAAAGACCGCGCTAAAGGGGAGCCGCGTGAACCGAAAGCCACCGGGCCTCTGTGGCTTCTCTCTCACCTGCCAATCTCTCCTGCCCGTCTCACACTGCCCTATCTCTCACCTCTGCCGTAGGTGACCCAGTCCTGGCCGCCTGCGAAGACTATCTGCTGGTGGTGGCCGTGGTCGGACCGAACGGTACGGGGGTCGGGCGCGCCCGCCGCCCGCCTGCGCACCAAGTATGATGTGCGCTGCGCCCGCCCAAGAACGTGAACCGTAACCAGCGTGCGCGGAAAGCAGCTGATGATGAAAGTCCGCTGGTCGGCCAGCTGCCCGGTAGTGGAGGCGGCCGTCGGGCTATAACGTGAGTGACGGATGCCAACAGTGAGCCAGAGTGTAGAGGGGAGAGAAGCGGGGCTGTGCGGAGGAGGAGAGCAGGGAGAGTTGATCCTGCTGTGGGGCTCAGGTTTTGACCTGTCCAGTGGGCTGCTGCCTTGTGGCCAGATGTAAGGCGAGGTGGCCTCGGCACCTCTGTCTGCTCGCTGTAGATAGCACTTCGTTTTTGTCGCCCTAACATGTGCTGTGCCTATCAGATCGTCAGAAAAAGTGAGCGTGTCTTAAATTGGTCTGACTCGGACTTGAGGCGTGTTACAGCGTCTTGTCCTGTCCTCCCCGCAGATCACCGTGGTAGAGGTGGGAGGTGGGTCACGTGCACCATACCGGGTGACGCTGCCCACCAGTTCGGAGGTGGCCCACTCCCACCAGGTGCCCGCCAACTACGGCGGCCACTACCTAGTGACGGTGCGCACCACGGCCATGGACGCCGCGCCGCCCACCCCGGTGACGTTCGAGGCGCCGCCCATCCCGGCGCCACACCAGCTGCGGCCCATCATCGAGCGAAACGGTAGCGTCGTGCTCTACTGGAAGGAGCGCAACCTGCCGCACGAGATGCGAGACGTCAAGTGAGTGAAGGGGGAGAGAGAGAGAGAGAGAGAGAGAGAGAGAGAGAGAGAGAGAGAGAGAGAGAGAGAGAGAGAGGAGAGAGAGAGAGAGGGAGAGAGAGGAGACAGAGAAGAGGGAGAGGGAGAGGGGGGAGAGGGAGAGGGAGGGGAGAGGGAGAGGGAGAGGAGAGGAGAGGGAGAGGGCGAGGGAGAGGGAGAGGAGGAA